TACATATTATTATTATTGTTATTATTATTATTATTTGTGCTTAAGATGGTTTATAAACACTTTCATAATGATATAAAGTAAACTTAAAGAAACACATTTAAGTTCAAAGTTTATTTTTGAGTTGATTTGATGTGAATGAGGATTAATTTATGTTTTTTATTAAGATATCCTGTTAGTTTTACACTATATTTGACATGATTTACACTTAAAAATAGTAAAATTCTGCATTAAATTTATATCAGACCGTTATATACTTATATATATACTGTATATATATATATATATATATAAACCCTATATATTACCACCTGCTGCCACCAGAACCGCCCTCTGAAGGTGTTTCTGGATCCTTTAAGTCCTGTAAGTTGTCTCCCATCTTGCAGACGCTGGACTGGATCGAGATCTGGAGAATCTGGAGGCACCTTGAACTTGTTGTTGTGTCCCTGAACCATGTTTACTTTGTGATAATTTAATAAATAAACTCAACAAAAGAAGCTAAAACATGTTTTAATTAGATGCCCTACAAAATAAAAGCACCAAAGAGTAGAAAGAATAAGATCTCAATACGCAGTTTGATGGATGATAAGGAGAAAAGTTTACAGCTGAATGAAGATTAAAGGAACAGTTTACAGTCCCATCATGCATCAGTTCAAAGAATCAAAGAGTTCAAAGGTCAGATCAAAGCACAGATTCATTTGCTGCTAATTTGTAGTTTAATGTATTTCTACATTTATTTCTACATTAACTTCTTTATTTCAGTACTTTTTTAAAAACATTTATTTAATTATTTATTTCTCCTTCAGTCATTTACTGCAGTGAAGCACACTGTGTGTGTGTGTGTGTGTGTGTGTGCTTGCTCATGGTGGTACTGTTGGGTCTCTGTAATGTTATAAAGAGTTCGGTCTAGACCTGCTCTATTTGAAAAGTGTCCTGAGATAACTTCTGTTATGAATTGGCGCTATACAAATAAAACTGAATTAAATTTAGTTGTAATGTAACTAAAAGTACTTTTACTACTTTAGTATTTCCATCTAATGCCACTTTATAATCTCCACAACAACAATAACAGATCAATAAACAGATAAACAAACAGTTTACAGTCCCATCATCGCTCAGTTCAAAGAATCAGAGAGTTCAAAGGTCAAATCAAAGCGCAGATTTCTTCTAAAGTCCGACTGAAGTTCAGCCATCAAACACTGGATCTCATTAACATATTAAAGAGCCGTCAGGTGTCTGATGGTCCGGACTCCTGGATAAAACTGGACCCTGTTGGACCTCCAGAGCTCACAGCCTCCTGGAAACATTCAGTGTGATCATGGACGGAAGCAGAGTGTCGGACTTCAGCATCGAGCGCATCCTCTCCCCGCAGCTCGGACACAGGCCGCCGGCGAGGGAGGTGCTCCCCGGAGGGTTCAGCCTGGACTCCATCAACCTCAGAGCCCCGGCCCCGGTCCCGGCCCCGGTCCCGGCCCCGGCCCCGGGCTGCCTGCAGTACCGAGGGATGAGCTTCGGGGAGGCGTTTTACCCGTACGGAGCCGGATTCCACCACACAGACTGCAGCAGACTTTATTCCAACTCTGGAGTTTATGTTCACTTCAGCAGCCAGGACTCAGCAGGTAAACACACACACACACACACACACACACACACACACACACACACACACACCTAATTTAATAAAAGTTTTTTCTTTATTTTTTAAAAAGAAGGAAAGTTGAATCAGCTGTTATTATTGTTACAGTAACGACAGAAAACAGCATTAAACGTCTTTTTCTGTCTTTAACTCAAACTTTGTGTTTTCTGTCCCAGATGCTCAGCCGTTGGCGGGTTACCATGGTTACCACCAGGCCGGAGTGTCCGCGCAGTCGCGTCAGAAGTCCCGGATGCGGACGGTGTTCACCGACAGTCAGACGAAGCAGCTCGAGGCGCTGTTCGAGCTCACCGACTACCCGGCGGTGGAGGCACGCGCTCAGGTGGCGAGGAGCTCGGGGCTGAGCGAGGAGACCGTCAGGGTGAGTCCGAGCGTGATGAGGTCACTGTCTCTCCAAGGTTGCGTAAAAGGTTCCAGGTTGGATTTTACGCACGACGCACCGACCTGTTTCTTTTAGATTAAATATTAAATCAAGTCTTTTTTTATTAGAGCAAATTATTATTTAAAGTTTAATAATTAATATTATCCTCTGAGTCCAGCAATCTTTGACCTTATTACTAATTCTAATTATTATATATAGAAACATGTCAAATTCGTTAATTAAAACTTTACTGCCAACATGAGCTGTTTTGTATTGAAAACAATCAAATTTAGGCTGAAATAAAACTTTTATTATTTTATTAACCATGTAGATTTATATTATTTCTGTATATTTTGTTCTGTTAACACTTTTGAACTCTCCTGCTCGGTGAACCTGTAGTTAAACTCTCTCTCTCTCTCTCTCTCTCTCTTCCAGGTTTGGTTCAAGAACCGCAGAGCGAGGAGGAAGCGACAGTGCAGCGGGTCAAAGGTCAAATCCCCCTCCCCTCCCCGCAGCGCAGGAGCAGAGAAAAAGCTCTTCACCTCCGTCCTCTGAACCCAACAGACTGTCCTCCGTTCTGCCCAGAGGTCAAACTCATCCTGCACAGGGACTCTGGCCTTCAGAGGTCAAAGGTCGGCCGACTGTCCTGCTCAAGGGCACTCCAGCAGGCTGGACGCTGCTCCACTGTGACTGCTGCTGATCCAACAGGTTCTAACTGTGGTGATGCATTTGGAAGCGGCTGGGAAAGTCCAACACTTCAAACTCTGGAGACATTTAATGTGTAATCTCTGCTCATAGTTTTGTAGTTTTAAATTATTTTGTATTAATTTATTGAAATCAGTGTATTTGAGTTGCTGTAGGTTTGAAACAGAAGCATTTGTAACCTTGAGTTGTTTCATTAAGAAATAAACATGGTTTTGATATGATTCAGTCCTGTGTTGTTGTTTTTATTTGTGTCTTTATTCGCTGTTTAAATTATTTTTCTGCAACATTAATACGACCAGAATCACTTTCAGATATTACACCGTCTGCTTAAATCCTCTTTACTTTTTCATTTTTGGGGAATTGAAATAGTAAAACTTGACTATTTCTGATTTTCTGGGGAGGAAAATGCGATCTGAGAATTGACCACTGGGTGTCAGTGTTACATATGATGTGGAGTTTTCTTTAAACCAGAGGAATGAACACTTACTTTCGTTTTGTTAATAACTTCATTCTTGTCATAATGTAATCTAAAAATATAAAACAAAACAGATTAACATTATTTTAGGAAAGTTACAGTTAATTTACATAAAGTGTGTGAAACTAAAATCTGTGTCTGTCGCCTATAAAATGACTGATAAACATTATTATGAATAAAGGACCAGTGAGATATGACAAAAAGTTCAGCTACTACTTGAGCATTTTATGGTACTTTGACAGATATAGTTGCTTTACAGGTTTAAATCTTATAATAAGCTTATAAAAAATGTGGCAAGAACTAGTCATTGGTATATAAAATATTAAGAACAACTTTAAAATAATCATAATTTAAATGAGTTTTAATGAATAAAGTTTGTGTGTAATTGTTACAAATCAGAAATATTATATTTCTGATTTTCAGATGATAAACAAATATTTTTTCTGTGGTTAAAACCAAGTTTTGATTATGTGGAAGAATTTTGTTAAAGAAACATTGAGATCAAAGGTTACATATGAGATTTATAACTTAAATATATCAGCAAAGAGCTATTCTCTATGTAAAGATACAGTGGAGTCATGGTGACTGTTGGAAAGACTAACAAAGACGGTTTTGTTGAGTTTCATTTAGTTTCTGTCCACTTTGAATTAAGTTACGTTGATAAAATTAATGTTTTTGTCTCTGGAGTCTGGTGGAGAGTGATAGTGATATTACGGCTGTTTGTGGTTAAACTAAAGGTCTATCTCTGTAGGGATCCTTTCCATAATGCTGTCAGACACTGACAATAACAACCTGAGTCTGTCAGTGGAACAAACAACTACTACTGTTAGTGGAACAAACAACAACTACTGTTAGTGGAACAAACAACAACTACTGTTAGTGGAACAAACAACAACTACTGTTAGTGGAACAAACAACAACTACTGTTAGTGGAACAAACAACAACTACTGTTAGTGGAACAAACAACGACTACTGTTAGTGGAACAAACAACAACTACTGTTAGTGGAACAAACCACAACTACTGTTAGTGGAACAAACAACAACTACTGTTAGTGGAACAAACAACAACTACTGTTAGTGGAACAAACAACAACTACTGTTAGTGGAACAAACAACAACTACTGTTAGTGGAACAAACAACTACTGTTAGTGGAACAAACAACTACTGTTAGTGGAACAAACAACTACTGTTAGTGGAACAAACAACAACTACTGTTAGTGGAACAAACAACAACTACTGTTAGTGGAAGTTTGACGACAAGGATTAGCCAACGTTACGTTGCAGCCATAGCAGCTTATTTTGTGGCTAATTTATCATCTAACTTGGTGAATGAAGGATTGATTTTGATCAAACCAGCGTTGGTGATTGTTATGGAGACTGTGGAAGGAGTACAGAAATGGTTTTGGTGAGTTTTATTTTGTTTCTGTCCAGTTTTAAGTGTGTTTTTATGATAATCTGCTTCATAAAATTACTGGTTTTGTTATTGGAGTCTGGTCTGCCGAGGAGCTGGTGCTCTAGTGCGACATCTAGTTGCAAGTAAATTTCATGTATATAACCTTAAAGTACGACTAAATGTTGATCACATGAAGCAAATGAACACAGCAAACTTATTATACATTATGCTGACATTAATTTGTGTTTTTGGGAGTGATAATAGATAATAAGTTATGTACTTGAAATCACATATACATTATTTAGTAGGAAACCATGTTAGTCAGACTTCATTATCTCCATTATATACCTTATTGTTTGTGTAATTACAGACGTAAATAAATCAAAATTTAAAAAGCAATGGACAGGAGAAGTAGAAAAACAACACCAAATTCTTTATTATATTCATAGAGTCGTCACTGTTATTATTAGAAGCACTTCCATGCTGATGAGAAGAAGATACACATATTGAAAAAACCCAAATCAGAAAATACTGAGAGAAAGTTATAGAGAGAGAGAGTGCATGCAGTGAGTATCTGTCAGGATGAGGACGTCCGACGCTCGTTCATTTTCCCCTTTAACGTCCGTCAGCTTCACACACTTTTAAAACAGGAGTTACTCACAAACATGGACTGTAACCGAGCACAAAGTAACACACACACACACTACAAAACTGGAGAACATAAAGTACACTTAGTGAAGTTATCAAAATATAGGCTATATACTGTATATTCTTAAGACTTATTAATGTTAAAACAACCAGTGCTGAGTTAGTTTCTATGAGAATGAGTTCAACATTATATTCTCAGACACGTACACCGATCGATTATAGAGCATTTAAAGGACAAAACCAGTGAGTGTTTCAGCCAATCGACTACAAATTACAAACACATTCCTGCTGATCGTTTTCCAAAACCATCCATCAGTTTTTGATTGATCTCCTTCCTTCTGCCATCGTATGCCAAAATATAAATAGCACGCCACTTTTAAGGATGTTTCTCGTATGTTTTTTAACTAATTTAAAGTAATTTAAGCCGAAGTCAAGTGGCCATTGCCGTGGTAACAACAGGTCGTTGGGTGACGTTGTGAAATAGTTTGTTAGGTTTAGTGATATTAGTTACGTCACTAAAGTTCCTTACTTAAGTTCAGTTAAGTTACATACTTACAGTAAGTTAAGTTTTGTAGTTTAATTAGCTTACGTACGTACTTAAGTTCAGTTACAGTAATTACCTACTGTGAAATGACACAAGAAGCTAAAAAGGTGTTTTGTTAACACGCAAAATTACTCTAAAAACTAAAGGATATCAGTTGGCAGGAAGTAAGTATACGTACAGTAATTTGTAGTTAAAAAGCTAAAACAGGTAAAACCAGTTTAGTCCTTCAAATGGTGCCAAACAAATAGAGAATATGTAATGAGAAAAGCTTATGTAACATCTTGTTTATTGTGAGATGATTAACCGGTGACTCACTAGTGACACTTAGTGGCCAAACCAGAGAAAGCTCCACATTTACACAGCAGTAAGAACACTATGTTCATACCAAGAGGCTTCACTGGGACATATTGACTGTACTGTACGTTTACTGTATAAAGACAAACCTCACCATCACTGTGGTCCACTGACGTCTACTGTATGTTCACCTATATGAAAGAGTCAGCAGATCCTGACTCTGTGGAGCTTTAGCAATGAACAGCGATGCTGCAGCAGCAAAACATTTCCTTTGAGTGAAATTATAAACAGATGTAAACTACAACATGTGGAGTTACTTTAGTTCATCAAGCTCTTTTGTTCAGGTTTGGATGGGATAGCAGGGGAAGGTAGCTAACGGCATGATTGTAGGGAGGTAAAGCAGTGAGTCATCTGCATATTGTGACATCAGAGTTCTCACATTTTCAAGCAACTGACCCCCAGAACAGTTTATGGACAGTTTCAATAACCCAGAGTCTGTGCTATATTTCATAAAAGTGGCTTAAAGTGGAGTTGAAGTCTGATTTCAGTTAGACAGATGTAGAAAATCTGGATTTCTTGGTTTTAATCGGGTTTGAAACTTCAATTCGTCCCTGAACAAAAGCTGGAATTAGCAGGGACATCATGCAACAATAACTTTTGGCCAATTGTGAGGTTCTAGCAACCTGATTAAAATGTTGTTGCAATGTTGAAGGACAGATTGTAGTTTTCAGGAAATTCTGGTTATTTCTTACATTTTTAAGGAGATGTTCTTGCCAGGAAAGCTACTTTACCAAATTCTAGTTTTCCCAGAAACCCTAGATTTGCTAAGTGACCATGCCTTTTACATTTCTGTTCTTTCATTTAGATGCTTAACAAACTGATTAAACCAGCTAACTGTTGGGCAAATGCACCATATCCAAAGTGCTACCAGGGCAGGAGTTTCTGTTCAAAATGCTAAACTGATCAGCGTTCTGTTCACATAACTCAACCTACAACTTGCAACAAAGCTTAAGAGTTTGGTGAAGTACTGTTTGCACCATTTTACCTTTTGCAGAGCTAAGCTTAGAGTTTAAGCGAGAATGAAAAGCTTTAGTCCGACTAAACTCTGCAGCTGGTTGAGCTAAACTGAACACCTGATGAGTGTAAGCGCTGTAGTTATCGTTAGTATAATGTTGAAGCTGATTCCACGGGCACAAAAATAACAGTTATCAACAGTGGTGTGCAGGAGCAACCACAAAGTGTTTCCTTTAGCCGAGGCTGCAGAGCTCAAAGACCAAGTGAGAGAAATCCTCAACAAACCAACAAGAAACTTCAGTTTGCTAGTTCTTTAATGTCAGTCTCAAGTTATTGACCGGCTTTAGAGGCTGGTGGATTTCAAAATTCAAGAACCAGTTTTGTCCAAACCAATCATAACTGGAATGATTAAATCTTAAAACCCCAAATTCTATCAAAGGTATAATCAGATTAGAAATCACAGACAGACGTAGATAAAGTTTTACAGCTCGGGTAACATCTTGGATCTCTAAGATCTGTACGTTTTACGTCCAAAAAATACAAAATTCAAGTATAATCAAGTCTTTCTGGAGTTGTAAAACAAACTCATACCTGTCTGAATAAATGAGCCATAGTCAGAAACTGAAGATTTGACCAGTAAAACTATTGAAATAGATTTCCAAACGCGGGTTATGGTTACGCTTAGGCAGTAAAACTACTCACACCTGACAAAATCAACATTGACTTGTGGCTCTTTATACTACTGCTGGTACTGCACCTTTGTAGTGGATCGGTGGATCTATTAGACACTTTGGACTCTAGATTTGAAAGACTAACTTCGGATTGTCCAATCTTCTTTAAAAAAAAGTGAAAAATCAAAACACAGCATCACACTGGCTCTTGAATTTGTGAACCTACCAGTCACTACGGTGTAAACGTACCACCACGCACTGATTGCTTTTGTTTGTCTGGTCTTTTCTCAACCTGAAAGCGTTTGTAGTTTGTTTAGTTTCCCAGCAGCCTCGGCCATCAGAGTGTGAGTGTGTTCATCTCTCTGTATTAGTGTGCTTACAGAGTGTAAAGAAACATTAACACAGGAACCATTTCCACACAGAGATAGGTACACTGTTTACATATTGCTGTTTTAAGTTATGCACATACTTGGAGAGAGATTTTAACATTAAGCACACACATAAGTTTAGATTAACTTGTGTTTTGTCTTTTTCGCAGATGCTCACATTCACAAAATGAACTTAAATCTTATTTAACTGGAGAAAGAGGGTTGAGAGAAGAGGGGGGAGAGAAGCAGAGAGGAACACTTTTACAAATATCATGAGCTCTCTGTGGAGAGCTTATCCAGGGTTTAAATTTCTATGTAAGGAAATCAAAAACCTCAAGATGGAGGATATGGATGTTTGATGAAGGGACTGTACAACTGATTATCGTAAACAAATATTCAACTCTAAACTGATTAAGTGTTGCTTTAAAGCTGATATTGACTTTAAATTAAGCTTATTTTCAGACATTAGCAACACAAAGACTTTAATATAAACATGTAGTGGGGCTGAAAATACTTTTTGATTTTAAAGTTGCATCAAAGGAACGTCGTCGTTTTGGGTCTGTTAGCACTTTTGGTTAACAACAGATTACGATTGCAGCTAGATTTCTATAATATACTGTATTTTAACTCTAACTAGATGCACTAATGTTTGTATTTGGCAATGCACTGATTAATAATGACAGTTATCCTAAGGCGTTCAGTCACTATAACTATACTGAAGACTAAATTAACTGGATCTTTTTTCTTTTTCAAAGTAATGAAGGAAAAATCCAGTTTTTTTTCTGCGTGTTCAGACTTGTTGTGAAAGGGCAACAACTTAAATACACACTTTAACCTTTAAACTGTACAGTTAAATAATCCACATTAACGTTCCCCCTGTACGCAACAGGAGACATTTCACAGATTATCTCACATCCCAACAGTTAAATTATGCCCGTTTCATACATCTGAAAGATAAAAAAATATAACTGACTGTAACACTATGATAAAATACAAGTAAGTCAGCAGTTGGTTAACCCTGTTTTCAGTTTGACATCTGAGATTAAAGCATGCAGGTGATAAAAGTTCTTCACATGGGATTTGTAGGATTGAGATCTTAATGTTACATGTGTAACCGAGGTTCTCTGAGTGGAGAAACTACCTCTCCAACTGTGAAACGTGCTCAAATCAATGTCAAACAGAATATTTCATGCCTGCGCATCCCTCATATAGAGCCACGTTTTGCCACAGTTGAGGTGTCTTAAAGAGCCTCCCGGGTGGAGAGACAGTCCCGACACAAGAGAGAACAGCAGCCGTTAAATGAAGTATGCCAGATCTGGGTCCAACACAACCACCACACTGCTTGGTACACTCCGATGTTTCACCTGGACTTTAAGTTAGCTGCTGCCAACCTTTGGCGTTCGTTTTTAAAAATCTGGCAAGACCCAAATCAAGCAGCAGCACAAACTGAAGTGGTTGTTGTTATCCTTAGAGAAACTGAACAGCCCCAAATGAAGACAAAACATGGACTAACACCGAGCTGGGACAATGAGATGAGAAATGATAAAGTGGTAAGGAGAATATTTTCTGGGGGAATTGCTTTAGCAGAGCTGGATTCTCAGTTTCAGTTAAAGGACGTTTTGATCAGATACAAGGCACTATAGATTTTGCTATAGAACGGCTAAATCAGAGGGATCTGGGCTGAGAGTAAGAGAGAGAGAAGAAGAAGAGGGAGGAGGAGGAGGAGGAGAAGGTGAGATTTTAATATGAGAAGTTTGACTGACGACGGCGAAAGTCTAAAGAGACTGACGAGAGAGAGAGTGAGAGAGGGAAGTGAAAGTAAAAGATGAAGAGACAGAAGAAGAGCACAGAGATTGATCTGGTGGTGGTGGAAGAAGAGTAGGAAGAAGGAGGGCGTGGTTAGGACTGCATCTCAGCACGCAGCATCCACGGAAACCAACAGCAGAAAAGCAACCTGGAGTAGGAAGAAGAGGAAGAAGAGGAAGAGGAAGGAAGAAAAGGAGTGGTTTTTAGAAGTAACTCAAACTGAGGCTTTGTTTTATTTATCGGTCTACCTGCCCGTCTGTTCTCACCTGGATATGGAGCTCTCGGAGGTCAGGTCTTTAGGAGAACGCATCGTGTTGAAGTTACGCTTGGGCTGTGACACTGCGGGAAACAAACATGGTTATGGTTGCACATTGCTGTAGTCGAGTGGCTTTATATCTGACACACGACATTGTTTTAATTTCTACTGAATTTAAACACTATGAAACTATGACTACATAGTAAAAAAAATCTTTAAAGCTCAGACACTTCCTAATAATAAGCCCAATAATGAAAAGACTTACTGGTGACTTGGTGGACTTTCTTCACCATGGATTTGTCATTCTGTGAGCCGTCTTTAGGACCTCCGATTCTGACAAAACAACAATGAGAGCAGTTTATTGTTGACTTCAAGATACAGCCAGAGTGAACTCATCATATTAAACAGAAGATGCATCTAGAGAGACTATATTAAATGTTGCTTTATAACAAACTATTAGATAGCATAATCGTTTTTATTTTTATATATAAAACCATCAAGCATCAAACTGTCTAACTAAAATGATCAGTGAGTAACTTGCAGGTTTCTTTTGGGGTCTTGAACGCGCTCTTACCTCTGGACGCGTGAGGGCGGAGCAAACACTCCATATTTGGGCAGGCAGCTGAAGTAGCGGACTCCAAACACCGAGCCGTCGTGTTTCCCTGTCGGCTGATCCAGCTCGATACCAAACCAGTAACCTGCAGGGACACAAAGAGCTCGAGTCCGCTATAGATTCTTTAGCACTTGTGATGAAAAATAATGAAAGTCAAGATGGCGAAAAGATAAAAGCAAAAGTGAGCTAATGTTAGCAAAAGTTAATGACTAATAACAAACCTTTTATTATTTATAAATTAATGAAAGATAACCTCCTGATTTGTAGCTTTACTATGAGATTAAGAAATAATATTTTATAAAAAACGGTGACAAAAAGATGGTCCATTTTGTCTTTAAGACAAAGAATTTAAATTTACACATTTATGTCACATGTCGGGAACATTAGCTATATATATAAAGTTTGCTTACTAACTTACTATGATTTATCTTAACTAGCTATATTGTAAGCCTAGTGTTTTGCTAACATTAGCAACATTAGCAAAACACTAGCTAAAAGATAAAAGCGACATACATGTGTCGACATAACATTAGCTAGTTAGCTAATATTTTTCTAACATTAGCTAACAACTTTAAATGTCACTATATACAGATACATATACACATATATACATATATATGTATATGTATATGTATATATATATCTCACTTTTATCTTTTAAACATCTTAAAAATGTGGTTGTCTTTTTGTAGATTAGCCTAGCATATAGTATATCTGAGTACAGGACAAAAGTTGACTGAGGCCTGCTCAACTGTTATTGGAGCACATACCAAAAAGGGGCGGGGCTTAGGAAGGGCCAATTGTTGCAAATTCATACTAACACACTAAATGAGTTATATAAAAATATGGTCTAAGTTTAAAAACTAGAAGAGAAATACATTTAACGTTTCTGTATTTGGAAATATGTGTTGTATTGTTGAATTGAATGAAACAGCGTTGCTAACAGGCGTATTGAGCTACCAGTGTGCAGTATAGAGAATAAGCTAACGGACCTGGAGCGAAGTCTGTCTTGCCGTAGAAGCGGACGATGCCATTTTTCTGTCCAGCCACCAGAACCTGATCCCCGACTTCCACATTCAGGCCCTCTGGATCCAGACTGGCTACTGACAACTTCTTCCTCTGGGCTGAGGACGTACAGAAAACACACAACTATTACGTCTCTAAACACCGACTCATAGAGCCAAATGTAACCAACACAGACAACGTTAGCGCTACGTTACCTTTCTCTCTCTCCTTCTCCTTCTTCTCTTTCTCCTTCTTGGTCTTCCCAGCCAGGCGGGAGGCCAGGTCTATGCGGGGGGTTCGGGGGGTGGAGGTGACCGATGAAGGTGTCTGATCCACAGCCTTGGAAATCTTTGACACGGGGGCAAAAATCCCTGCAGGGGCAGAAAAAGACAAACATACTGAAACTTTACGCTAAACTACGATTAATGTAAATTAGCTTTATTGTTAGCCTAGTGTTTTGCTAACTTTAGCAACATTAGTTTTGCCCTGTCGCAAACTAGATAGCACACAAGCTAAAAGATACACAAAAATGTAAACACAGGTGTTACCAATGATACTAATTAAGGCTCTGTTGCTCAAAGGCACCGCGGCAGCAGCATTTGTTACCTAGCTTAGGAGGGCAGATGAAGTAGCGGACGCCGCCCACGCTACCGTCGTTTTTTCCCTCCGGCTCGTCGAGCTCCACGCCGACCCACTGACCGCTGGCGAACTCCGTAGTACCACAAAACCTCAGAGTGCCGGCCTGCGGGACACACAGAGGGGATCTGAAGTTAGACGTGAACAAGTTTTAAATTCGTCATGTGACAGGAAGTTGTTGTCAGTTCAGTTAGTCTACGTTCCGGCCGGCGCCCGCTCCAACGAACCTGTTTGAGGTTTGCCGCCGGGCTGTCGTCTCTGCTCTGGTCTCTCTGGAGCTACACAGTGAGAACACACTGTTCAGAGCTCATACAGCACGGTGTGAAGGTCAGCCATCACACAAAATAACCCCAAATCTGTCCGGCAACAATGCATTCACTGGCAAACATCTGGTATTGATATAAATGTATATTTCGTGTTTTTAAGTTGGATCCAAACAGGACAGAAGTGCCTGTGTGTGTAACAGTGTCTCCATTACAGAGTTTGTCCAACAGAGAGCGCTGTTTTAATCATCTACATCGGTAAATTAAGGATTTATTTCCACCAAACCAGAGTTGGTGATTGTTCGAAAGACTAACAAAGACTATTTGTCGTGTTTTACTTTGTTTCTGACCACTTTGAATTAAGTTATAATCTACATCAATTGATAGCTAACCAGCCAGTGTTTTTCTCTAAACCCTAACTACCTTATCAATATATCAAAATATCTCTCTAGCTAATATTTCTCTTTCTCTGTAGGGATCTTTTCCCATAATGCTGTCAGAATAACAATCGGAGCCTGTCAGTGGCAGAAACAACAACTGTTAGTGGCACTTTGACATTGCTTTTCACAAATATTTTCCCATCTAACTCTGTAAATTAAAGATTTATTTCGACCAGACCAGCGTTGGCGATTGGTGGGAAGACAAACAAAGACGGGGTTGGTGAGTTTTATTTTGTTTCTTTCCAATTATTTTGGTCTGAGATGCCGGTGTACTAGTTCGACATCCAGTGGTTAGTAAATTTCGTATATAACCTTTAAATAAACATTCCAGTTCTTACTGACGTCACCAGATGGCAGCGGCCATATTCGGGATCATTTGTCCCATTTTTGTGCAGTGGAAGTGGAGAAACGTCATCCATCTTTTACATGCCGTGCCGGTACGTATAACCAAGTGCATATCTGTAGCATATTGTGCTATCTAACCCTGCAGCTGGACTGGAATCCATCCCGCCAGGTTTCAAGCTAAACGCTGGACCAATCAGCGCCCTGTGAGGAACTACTAGCAGCTACAGGCAACTGTTTGCTCGGAAACAACAATGGCTGCTAAAGAGGTTAGGTGTTTAGCTGCTAGCATCAGAACTCAGTTATATGGTTCGTTGATCTGATTGGTTCATTCCTCATAGATGGTGATAGACAGATGGGTCATCCAATCACCTGCCAAGTATTTCGTTTCCAGTTTCTAATAACTTTTTATCCAGTTTCATGAATTGTAATAAATCGTGAGTTGAGCGTATCGTTCCAATTCCGTATTGTCTAAAATAAAGGTTGATTATTAAATACAATTCTGTGGTTTATTGGCAGTTTCAGCCTGTTATACTGTAAGTTTCTTCCCTCCATAGGATGTTTCAGTGTGAAACATCCTTTCACCACTTCCTTACATCTTGAGGTTGTTTGTTGTAGTTCTCACTACTAACAAACTTCGCTTACTGACGTTTTCTAGCAGCTTGTGTTAAACTTCAGCTGCTTTATAATCCGTCACATCAATACATTTTCTCCTCTGACCTTCATGTCGTCCAGCATCACACGCTCTCCCAGCTTCAGCCCCAGTGAGGTCAGCATCAGGTTTCCTGGGATGTTGTCATAGTTGGGCAGCGTGGCTCTGGGAAGGTTACAGCTCAGAGGGACGGCATCCAGCAGCAGCTGCTTCAGTTCTTTCGCCACCATGGCGGCCTCCGCCTTGTCCAGACTCATGTCCATCGGGTCAGGAACCACGTCTCCTGGGACCAGGCCCTTATCGTTCTACAGAGAGCCAGAGGGTGAAGAAGGGACAGAAGGAGACAGAGTTATCTTTAGTAAGATCATTAATCACTCTGAAAGTCATGATTTAAGAGTGCAAAGGTACATTTAAGTGCAAGGACAGAATAATGTAGCCTTGCCTCCTCTGCAGCAGGTAGCTTGTGGTCGGTTCCAATGGGTCATTGTTTGGCTTTGATAGATTAGAGCTGTGATCAACGTTAAACTGAAAGCGGTACCCCTGCTAGAGGGTGTGTGCATGTTCATTTCTCAATGTGTTAAAGTACTTACTGCCCACAACCCCAGGACATCTCAGGGACATAACATAACATATTTGGGGGCGCGTCCAGAGGATTTAAGAAAGGCGATTGGTAAATTTACTTATGTTTGTAATATCTCCAGTGGTCATCATTGTGAGTACTGTTGTCTGGGTGTCCGTTGTCTAGCCTTTAAGTGTTAACAGCTGGGTATAAACTACCGTGTATAAATAACTATAAGGGTGGAAGTAACTAAACCTCCAAAAACAACAGAACTTTTTCAACTGAAAACCTATATATATGAGAATTTACTAGTATTGATTAATTCTGATCCAAATCTATATATTTTAGTGCAAGTATTTCAATTCTACATATTTTGAAATAAAAATACATAGTGACTGCCCTCTACTGGTTGAAAAAGACTATTACACTTGAATATTGCTATTGGCTGATCTGGAGGCAGCTTTCTTCACCAACCAACACGGCTCCTATAAAACCAACATTTTAACTCTGCAAACTGCGGCTTCCTACGTAGCCGTTAGCCTGACACTCTGCCACAGACACCAAAGAGTTAGCCTCTCTGAGCCGCTAGCTTACCATCTATTTTTACAAACAGTCATGAATGTGCTTCTAGTGACTAACCTCCAGATCAGCCAACGGCAAAATTAAAATGCAATACATACGTACACACGATCCGTGCATTTATAGAGCTGTAACGAAGGTTTAAATGCAAATGTAGCAAAGTAGAAAGTAGATAACTGGCTCAGCAGAAAACAGCAGTTTTAAAAAAGAAACATGAAAACTATTCAAGTGTCTTAAAAACCCCTGAAACAACGTAAAATAAAGTGTTTCTTTACCCGCACTGTGGGGTTGGCTCCGTGCTCTAGCAGACATTTGACTGCACCCAGACAGAGGTTGGAGGCGGCGATGTGGAGTGCCGTACCGTAGTGGAAATCACTGCATGTGGAGTTCAACACTGCAGAGACAAAAGAAGAAGAAACTGACCTCCGCTCTCCTGAGCTCAAGCTTTGAATATCTGATCGTTCATAATGTGATCCGTGCGAGTACCTCTGGGTTTAGAGGCCTTGAGCAGGACTCGGATCAGTTCTGGGACGTCGAAGTAAGCGGCATAGTGCAGGGCGTTCATGTTGGTCCAGCGGCTCCTCAGACTCACGTCAGCGCCCAGAGCGATCAGCTGGCTGCTGAGTCGCAGCGCGGCCGCCGGGTCGCCTGCACACACAATGAGGACAACACTAAGATGAGCTCCGGCTTTACAGCAGCAGAGGGGCAGAATCCACTACCACCAACCGCCCCAACGCGGTTAATTTTGTAAAGGTTTCTAGTACGCCTTAAAGCCAAAAAGGCTTCTCGACCCCCTGTGAAGCTTCGACGACCCCTAGTGGGGGTCCCGACTCCCAGGTTGGGAACTACTGCACTAAATTAATATCAGACCTGAGAAAGAGATCCTCTGTTCTTCTTCATGAGGTCTTTTCCCTCTTTCCTGTTAAAGAAGTTGTTGTTGTATTTTTGTTTTTTTAGGGGTTGTTGTGGCCTAAAATTCCTGATTTCACAGCAGCTCTTCTCATAACTTGCGATGTTTTTACGGTTTCCTTACAATTAAATTGGGTGAGTATGTAAAAAGGAGAAGGACTAAAATAACACCAGACTGAACCTTTAAAGGACCAGTGTTTAAGATTTAGTTGCGTCTAGTGGTGAAGTTACATCTCAGCCTTCCAAGCTTGTAGGAGAAACTACGGTGTCCACCTCTAGTGTATGGTTTGTCCCTTCTGGACTACTGTAGAAATAGAGGTGGCCTGGGCAATAAAACAGCAGTATGTATTGGCTATAGATATTTAATCAATAGAAGTAAGAAAATAGTTCAATAGGATATAAATAGTTTCACTTTATTTAAAACTATGGTACTTTTACCACTCGTGAGCTCCCTCTAGTGGTACACGGAGGAATCTACAACAACACCGTAAACAACAGTAAAATTATCATTATTATATTTATATATTATAATTATCTTACCAACTCCGTGCGCTCCGGCCTTACAACTGTAGTGAAGCAGCGTCATGTCGGTCAAACCGTCGCGGTCGTTCACGTGGCAGCCACGCTTCAGGATCTGAGACGCAAAAACACACACAAAGCGGTTAATTTATGTGTTGACAGTGAATGGGGAATTTAATTTACAAGAATATATTTATTTCTTGTTTCGTATATTTGAACTGACTTTATTATCGTAACAGAATAACATCTGTAGAACTGGAGGATCTGTGTTAGACTATTTACTCTGGCTTGTGTTTGACCAACCCAGAGGAGGAAGTGGGGATCGAACCGCCAACCCTGCGATCAGTGGACGACCCTCTGAGCCACAGACTGTGTTGTCTATAATATTGGATTTTATTTATAACTTCCAGATGTTGTAGCTGTCAGAAATTCCTGATTTCTGCAACTCAGGAGGCTGACATGAATGTTTTTTCCTGCTCTGATGTTTATTATTTACAATCCGAACTTAAACGCAGCATTAATTAACCCACATTGTTCTTGAGCTCATAGGACACTGTGTTTGTTAAAAGACACTAAAAAGTGAAATAAATTCAATAAACAACATGTTTTTAAAAGAAATTACAATCCTTATGTAGAGATTTGGAGTCAATCAGCTGACAGGAGGTTTTATTGTAGTGATTAATGTTTAGTTAGTCGGGTTGAAACGAGCATCCAGTACAGATAATGTACGTTTAAGTTCCAGTTTCACTTTCTATAATATAACTTACAATAATCAGTACCCGCCAAATTAAAATCAAAATAACAACATGAGACTTAAAAACAACTTTGTTGATGCAGTTGATGCGCGTCGCTCCATCCTTCTGCCTCCTTCTGAGTCACATCACCGTCTCCTTGTTGTTTATTCCTGCAGGCTGAGTCAGCCTCCTGCTGAGTCATGATGGAGCCTCAATGACTTTACATCTCTCTCTCTCTCTCTCTCTCTCTTCCTCTGTTTGCCTCTTGTCTCCCTCTGCACCACTTTCTCTGTCTTATCAGGAGCATGCAGCCATTTTAACTGGGTCATTGTCGCTGTGATTACTGACATTGTGGGGGACTCACAGTGGAGCCATTAAAGGCCCTCAGACACATCAAGTCCTTTGGAAATGACTTAATGATGCCATATAAGGTCATATTATTTCCAGTTACCAGTAGGTGGCGCTGTGAGAATGATGTAGATGCATGTGCATGTGTTCGAGTCGGGACTCTTATCAAACATGTGACGTTTGGTGCAGGTGGGATAATGTAGGCTAAAGTTACAACATCCTGTTTAATGACAAAATGTTGATTTTCGATGCCACGCCACGCTCACAGCGTTTGACGAAACCTCAAGATATTGATATTTATTCATCCTGAACTTCTTTGAGTCTACTCACCAAATTGTAAGTCGATCCGATAAATTCTCTAGGAGGAGTTAGTTAAAATATTAGGCCTGGAACTTGTAGAAATGGCACCAAAATTTGACATTTAATTTAAAATGACCGGCTTCCTGTTTGTGTTTGGGGTTTGAGACATTAAAGAATAATAATAATAACAATATAGAACATTAAAATGATGTATTATATTACAATATCTAACACTATATATAGACAATATAAAAGTATATACATATAAAATAAATATAATAAGAGTCTGTACATTATATGATATTTCAATTTAAACGAACCCTTCAAATACAATTAAAGTGTGTGTGTGTGTGTGTGTGTGTGTGTGTGTGTGTGTGTGTGTGTGTGTGTGTCCAGAGGTTTGAATCTGGGTCAATGTGACAATGACAGAGCCGAGCGTGGTGCGTTCAGGCTCCGTGCCAGAACAAAGCGGGCAGACGATACAGAGAGAGAGCTGTTAGCTTCTTTAGCATTCAGCATTAGTGTCAGTATAATGTCAGATTAGCATAATTAGCATTAATAATCAATATGTGGACGATAGAGGAGTTGGTTTTGGGGGTTATTAAAGAAGCTGAATCCATTTCTGACATTTTCAGAATACAAAATGGCCGTTTAAAGCAGAAGTGGATGTATTTAAACTCCCATTGTTTTGATTTTGAGTCGATTATTTATTTGATTTATACAGAACCACAGCGGTTCGATGACATCATGCTGCAGTATTACGTCTGATCATTGAGCTTCTTGATTCCCAAACGCAGGTTCGCATTATTAGGCATATAAATCACCTCAGAACTGACTCATAATTGATCAATTAATTAACTGACTACCTGTTAATGTAGTGTGAAATGTATATTTTATTTTGAAAATTGGACTAAACGCTATACTTTTAATAAGTTGTTTTTTATTTATTTATATTTCATACTTACTAAGCTGAAGAACAAACGGACCCTGAAGGGAGCGTGAGGCGTTTACATGTCGCTGGTATGTTCGTTGTTTTCTCACCTCGTTGCCGATGATGTCGATCTTGTGCTGCACCTGAGGGACCCACTGACGCACGATGGCGAACAGCTCGGGGATCGTGGTCCGAGGGTCCATGAGGATCTCCAGACAGGCCGGGTCGTTGGGGTCGAAGAACGTGAAGGCTGAAGACAGAGAAAGTAAAATCAATAAAAATATCTGTACGTTTATTTTACAGGTTCTTTTTAATGTTTTTTTTTTTTTATTAAAATCTGTAACTGTAAGTGATCATAAAATTACTGCTTATTTACATTGATTCAAATATATTTGCAAATCTGTAATTTTTCACAGATATTTACTTTTTATTTAACAGATTAAACTGTTAAATTAAAGTTTAATACTGTTAATTCATTTTACATTAACAGTAAAAAGTATTTGTTGTGTAATTTTAATGGATTTGTTTGTTAACTAACAGATATTTTGTATAATTCTGGAAGTTTTAACAACAGAAACACTGAATAAATGTTGTTTATCAGTGTATAAGCATTGGTAAACTGTCCAAATACAGTTGTTATCAGTGTAAACAGCAATAATTACTGTAATCTCACAGATAATGACTTTTATTACACTTCTATAACTTTTAACATTCACATTAAAATAATAACAATCCAATAATAACAGCACTCTGCTGTAAATGTAAGTCTGATTATTGTATTAAAGCAGAGTTCACCTGGATTTATAGATCATTGTTTTACACTGTAAATATCTTTAATTAAACATTAAAAAGACAAAAAATTACAAAAGATTTTATGTAAAAAAACTGTATTTTACTGTATTTGTTTGGTGCTCGGCTGCTGGAATTTTACCTTTGTTCAGTGTGTGTTTAAGGTGGTATGACTGTGCAGTGTTTAAGGTGGTATGACATTGTGCAGTGTTTAAGGTGGTATGACAGTGTATTTAAGGTGGTATGACATTGTGCAGTATTTAAGGTGGCATGACAGTGTATTTAAGGTGGTATGACAGTGTATTTATGACAGTGTGCCGTGTTTAAGGTGGTATGGCAGTGTATTTAAGGTGGTATGACGTACTGTAGTCTTTGGGCAGCGGGGCCTGGGCGGACGGGTGCACCATGGCTCTGCGGCGCGGCTCGTGAACCGGACTCTGGTACTCGGACACGGACTGCGGCTCCGGCCCGGCTCGGCGTCACACTCCCGGCCGGCCTGCGCGTCCTCCTCCTCCTCCTCCCGCTCCTCTCTCTCCTCCCGCTCTTCCTCCTGCTCGTCGTCCTCCTCATCCTCCACCTCCGCCCTCTCCTCCCCCTCCCTCTCCTCTTCTTGCTCGTATTCCTCCTCCTCTTCCTCCTCTTCTTCCTCCTCCTTTTCCTCTTCCTCCTCCTCCTCCTCGGTCAGCACCTCCTCCTCCTCCCTCTGGACCCTCCCTTCCTCCTGCTCCTCCCGGTCGTGCCTCTCCTTCTCCTGCACCTCCAGGTTCTCCTCTTTAGTCATGGTGTGGGATGTTGCAGCTCGGCCTGTGAGAGAGAACGAAGGAAGCTTTTAATAAAGTGTGCAGCATGCTGTCGGCACTCGGGAGCATAAAGGTCACAACCTTTGACCCTCAACCCTATATAGAGACACACAGAGACACACAGAGACACATAGAGACACACAGAGACACACAGAGACACACAGAGACACATAGAGACACACAGAGACACACAGAGACACACAGAGACACATAGAGACACACAGAGACACATAGAGACACACAGAGACACACAGAGACACACAGAGACACAGAGAGACACACAGAGACACATAGAGACACACAGAGACACAGAGAGACACATAGAGACACACAGAGACACACAGAGACACACAGAGACACACAGAGACACATAGAGACACACAGAGACACACAGAGACACATAGAGACACAGAGAGACACACAGAGACACACAGAGACACACAGAGACACATAGAGACACACAGAGACACACAGAGACACACAGAGACACACAGAGACACACAGAGACAAACAGAAACCTGATTGTTTTAACTCAATATTGAACAAGTTGCCCCTAAAAGACTTAAAAACAGCTCAGTTTATCTTAAATGAACATTTCACTGCTGTCATCCAGTCCAGTAACGCAGACCTTTCGGAACCAGGTCCGGTGATGAAGACTCATTGTTCCTGGATTGAATCATCAGACGAGTGTGTGTGCTGGCGCTGCCTGTCCGTCATTAGCTGTCGACGGGCCCCGACTGGATTAAATCTACTCTCCACTTTAGCAAATGGACGTTGAAATCCATCCAGCAGCCGCTCCCTCCATCATCCATCCATCCATCTTCCTCCTCCTCCTCCGTCAGACATCCGAGACGGGAGGAAGATACACAGATGGATTTAAATTCTTCTGATAAACGTTAAAGTTTTGAACTCAAACTGGGAGGTGAAACATCCTCACTATGTGCCTCTTACATCCTCTCTATCTGCCGATATCTGCGGACGCTGTTTTAGTTTCTCAATCTGAGTCAGCCTCTTTCTGCAGCACAAGCTACGTGCTAAGCTAACGGTTGCTATCAGTTGCATCAGACATTCGTTCCCACACAACAAATCATTTTCCAGGAGGTTTTTGTTTTTTGACAATTCAGGACAACATTTGCTCACAAACGACCATATAAACTGCAGTTTCAGACAAATGATGAAATATTAATGTTATTAACATTAATGCTCATTATTTCTATTTATTTATCACATTTACATCATTTACTGTAGTTTCTCAGTTCCCATGTCTTATTTCTATCTTCTATATATTCTATTATAATGTACATACTTTAAACTCTTTTCATATTTTTCTATTAAATATATATTGTTGTTAGATATTGTAATATAATGCATTTCTTTAAATATGAGCAACTGTAAGGAAAAACGAATAAAGTATTTCTGATTCTGATTAATTTGGCTCATAATTAACCGCTTAAATCAAGTAGAATCTTAAAATAAAAATATATAATAACATGTAGGAAATAATTCATGTAACAGGAGTTAAGGTTAAACTTTTTGGGGTTTTCTGTGGTTATTTCCTGTTTTTATTTTGTAGTATCAGAGTTTATATTCCCTGCGTTACCTTCGCTCTGTGTTTTCTGTTCTTACTGGACTTCGGTGCATCGTATCGTTGTGCCGGCATGTTAAAGACTTTTACTTTTTATACCTACATCCTGTCTGTAGTCGTCAGTTTGGCTCCTATTTTCTGTTCATTCTCTACAAAACAATCTGACCAAAAATACAGAAAACAGAGAGAGAAGTTTTGATCTGAAGCTAATTCTTATTGAACATGTGACTTATTAAAATGTTTGGAGGCGGGATGCTAAAATGTGCATTTTATGTCTAAATTGTAAATAAGATTCACACAATAATGAATAAAAATAAGATTTGTGAAGGATTAAAATCATTTTACAGCGTTAGAGAGTGAAAACAGGCTGAAATCCTGTTTTTTTTTAGTGTTTTTTATGAAGGTTTCACAGGATTTAACATCAAATTGCAATTACAACAATAATACAATGTATTATAGAGATAATGCATGTAATGTAAAAGGCACCAAATGACCCTTAATCAGTTCCCAGGATGTGTGGGAACCCTGGTATATATTCTGATTTGTATAAAAACAGGTTGATTAAAGTCAAATTGAAGTGAACGTCTGTGTTTCAGGTTGTTCTTCCTCTGTCTGTCACTACGAACACTTCCTGCTGTGACTGTTGATGGATTTAATTTAAAGTAATTAACTGTCTCTGAGTCCGTGAGGTTTATCTGTGGTCCTGACACAGACTCAGCTGAGGCCACGACGGAGGTTACACAACAGGACCGTATGAGTCAGCGTGGACGCACAGATACGGAGGATGAACTTCACCGCTGCAGCCGGACCGAAGCTCACAACAACACCGATGTCTGACTGTTTCAGGTGGAGGGCATGATGGGAGGTCTGAGTCCATCCAGTTACCCAAACCCAAGACCTCCTGACCCTAAACAAACCTTATAGTACCTGACAATCTGAGTTAGAGACCCTCTGTGGACTAAAGAGGACATTGTGGACAAACCGGCGTTGGTATTCGACAACCTGAGAACGTGTTGGATTTTACTCAACCAGAAACACGGCGGACTACAGAGGAGCCTCTTAAAAAGACATCAGCTCCCCTAAAAACATTCAATCTGTCAAATATTATTGACAATAGGCTAGTTCTGTTTCTTTATCATCGTGGATTATGTGTAAAATTAGGCCTTATTAATACATACGTCGGGGTAAAAAGCTGATTATTAGCCCTACGCGGTCGCAGCTATGAATGTTTCTTTGCAACTAGAGCAAATTGAACCAATAATAAAACAAGTGAGGTCCCTCAAAAGCCACCGTATAGTTCACACACTGGAAAATAAAATCATCTTATTGAGATTATTGTTCAGGTGATTAAACACTAATGAAAACACACCTATTAATATTATATTTATGCCAATGTTTCACTCTGGAGCTTTAAAACAGCAGTTTGGACGTCCAGAAAAAGAGACATAAAGTCTTATTTCTCAATATTAAACATTATCATTGTTATTATAAATAAAACCTTTTATTAGTCTTAGCATCAGTGGAGTGAGGCAGTGTTTGTGGAGCACTGTAGGCTGATAGATAATCAATAATGACCTTGTACTGGTTCTACAGACACACTGTGGGAATACACACTTATCCCACACATTAATGCCTCTATATGATCTGTATGGAAGTACATTAACGGCAAAATAATGACAGAATATCTCAATATTCTGATTTAATATCTCAATATTCTGATTTAATATCTCAATATTCTGATTTAGCATCACAAAATAATTAGTAAAAAACAAGTTTCTGATTATAATAATGTACAGAATCGTGTGTTAGTGGACTTCCATAGATTTGGTCTGGTTTGCAGAGTGTGTGAGGACCATGTGATGAGCAGGTTGTGAGAGGAGGAAGGGGGAGGAAGAGGAGGGAGGGAGGCCATGGCAGCATCCTCCTCCTCCATCCAGCCTCCATTTTACCACAAACGGAGCCTGAGACACAAAAATACCGCACAAACACGCAGAAATGGCGCAGCCCGCGTCCCGCACAGCTCCAGCTCAGACCCCCCGGAGACGTTTGGGATGTCAAGAAAGAATAAAAACACGAGATAGACGCAGACTCAGCTCCGGGTGGAGGTTTGGGCCAATGTGCGTAGTGAAGGGTCGGATCGGGGGGAGAGAGAAAAACGCCCCACCGACAAACAATGAAAACGCGCAGACGCAGAAAAAACGCACGAATATGAAGATTAAACAGAAATAAACATTAAAAACAAACAATATCGGTTTAAAAACGTCTCCAGCTGTCTGTCAGAGGAGGGGAAGGCTCAGTTATTATCACAGGTTTGCTTTTGAACAGCGCCTCTCTCTCTCTCTCTCTCTCTCTCTCTCTCTCCATTCCTCTGCCTCAGCATCATCTTCATCCTCACACCAATACACACATGCATGTATCAATAACCATCAATAATCATCAATAATCACCGATATCACGCAGAATAAAGCTGCTCCTACCTGAAACACAAGCCGCTGGTTGTTCGCTGAAGAGCTCCTCTCCTCTCTGGTCTCTGCACAAACAACACTGATGCTCTCTCTCTCTCTCTCTCTCTCTCTCTCTCTCTCTCTCATTTAATTCAATTCATGTCTCTGGAGCTGCGCCGGCGTCACGTACGCGTTATAAACACGTTATAAACACGTTATAAACACGTTATAAAGCATTAACCGACCGACAACTCTTTCTAAAAATATATAAATGAACGCTCTTATTTTGAAAAAGGGACATAATAATAACAATATAAATTATAATAATAGGAATTACACTATAAAACAATAAAGATTACAAACAGTTCTCAGCTGATTTCTGAGCTCAGTAAACAGTTTCCTGATGAGTTTCTGGTCTCAGTCTCTAGTTTCAGTCTTCTTCCATACAGCATGATGTTCATTTAGTAACTGATGGTCCCATTTAGAGTAAAACAGACCATAAAGCAGGGTATGCTTTAGGGCGGGGCTACCTTGTGATTGACAGCTCATTCTCAGTGAGTCCGTCCAGCTCAACTCACCAAACAGATCAAACTGTCAATCAGTGCTGATCAGAAACCCATTCTCATTCCCAACTCGTCTAAGACTGACGCTTTGTCTCTGCCCTTTGGCGTTCCATACAGATCCAGATTCTGTTGTTGACTATTGGCTCCTCAAATCTGTTCACAAACACATTTTACTGTTTATCTGGAATACCAGATCCTGTGTGACCAGGCGAGCCGCCATTGTTTCCTGCTACGGACGAGTCAAAACTGCGCAGCCAATCGCTGTAGATCAACTTGCTTTACTATCATGGCGTCAGCTAAAACGCCAAACTGGAGGCTTCAAAACGTTTCTTCACAAACTGATGGGTGACGTCTGTACTTCCTCCAGATGGCAGCAGTGTGAACACATACCTGCCAACTTTTCAAAAAACCTTGGAGTGAGATTTTGTCGGGGGTGATCAAAATGATGCCGCGCACGCAGCCACATAAGTTGGTGGCTCAGATATCAGAGAATTGGAATTAATTTGATGTTGTACCCATGTTGTACCCTGCATTCTGGTGGTTTGTGGGGAGGCCCAAAGCCGCTGATAGGGGCAGCCTACTGGAGATGGACAATATTGGTTACACTCTGAGAAGCAGACATAGCTGAAGGTCCAACCCCCAGGAAATTTTGGATTAAGTAGATGTGATTTCCAGCATTCTAGTGGATTTTTGGGTGGTCTGCTAAAGATGTGCAATACCTGAACTTATTCTGATTCATGTTCGGCATCATGACTTGTAGGGCCTTCTGGACTTGAGCTGAACATTCAACCAGAAAACTATTGTTGTGCCTAAATGACTGCCTGTATCACAGTAAAGCCTTATTCATAGACCAGTGTTTAAGATTTGACCTAGGTACCTGTAGGTTGATAGATATTTTGATTAAAATGGTATTAAACTAATTCTTAACCTATGTTGTGAATAATTGTATTCCTAAGAGCACTTCATGACTTATGTTCAGCCAAAAAACGACACAAGATTAGTCAGGGAGGGACATTATTCTATATTCAAAGCCTCCCACCACATCAGAAACAAATAAAGTGCAACAAATAAAGTGCTTAAACAGTTCAACTTTTTCAAGCAATAAAACAGATGAATGCATTACCAAAAAAGGGGCATAATCAGTATCAGATGCAGATCGAACGAGTCTCGGCCCAAGATTGGAATTTCTCACGCAAAAAAGATTTATTTTTTTTGTGTGAGAAATTGGATGTGTGGCGTGAGTGCGTGTGGAAACAGGCAAAATTGTGTGTCACATGGCGAAAGCGTGAGAGTTGGCAGCTCTGTGAACAGGCTGTGGCTGCTTTATTTTAGTAACAGAGAGTTGGTAGTAAAGTGACACTAACAGATAATGTTACAGAAAGAAACAGATTTTTTGCTGTAATCAACAACTGAAATGTTTGTACGAATATGGAATGACTTCGATCTAATGTGACTTTAAAAGGACGTTGTTCACTGTCGACTCCGTCAGTGAACACAGCAGTTTAAACTTTAATTTATATTATCCTCGTTTTTATTAAAAATGTCTGATAGTGTCCTTGTTAATACGTAACTGCGAACACATTATGTCCTTTATCTTAGCAAAACATTAAATTTCCCCGTTTTTTTCAAGGATTCATTGTTTTTTAATTACATTACATGTTTTACATTCAAAATGTATTACTTCATTTGATATTGATAATCCTATTTTATTTATTTCTTTTAAATTAAATTCAAACAAAGGATATAAAAAGGACCGATTAGATAAATATTATGGTAGATGGAGAGAGAAAACTGGCCTGTAGGGGGTGATATAGAAATCCTTATTGTTACTGTTACTTTAATCCTGACAATGACTCCTGACGGACTTCAGGATGCATTAAAGTCAAATTATCATAAATATGACGTCACTACCGTCATGCAAAACAGGTTTCTGGGTAAAACTTTACAGAGAGTATCTAGAAAAAAATCTGCAGGCCCTTCACCTCACCAATATCACTGATGCTGGGTAGCAAAGTACCAAAGATCTTCTGGGTGGTTTTAATCACGCACTGTCCTCCTGTCCTGGTTCGTATACATCCCATCATGTTGTTGTTGTGATGTTTCCAGTCAGGCTTTTGATCGAAACTTTCCCAAAATGTGCCTAAAAATATCTTTACTTTCCAAAATCTTTTGACTTTTGACTTTCCAAACACGTCCCCACTCTCAGGGTACAAAGCTCCTGGTTGGTCCTCTTAAAGATAAGTAGATAAACACACACACACATACACACACACACACACACACACACACACACACACACACACAGCACGCACACACAGGGCGTGTTCTTCCTGTTTCAGGAAATAAAACTGTGATGACGACTTCTCTCCAAACAACAGCCGACAAACAAGTGAGCTCTGACTTTTTACCAGTTCTGACTCTTTGTTAGCCTATTTAATGTATTTTATTTTCATAATAAAGGTATTAAAGTAAACTGTAGAGCATCAAATCTATATAAAGGTCTTCCATAAAAGTATAATACGACAGTGTAATGATACTTCAAGCTGTGTATAATATGTTACACCTCATTAACAGGATAGCAGCAAACAGAAAACAAACATTTATTTAAATAAATTGTTATTTTGCCATTATTTAACACAACTAATGTGTAAAGTAAAGAGGCAGTTATCGGTGGAGGCTCCTGTACAAACAGGTCCGACTGCAGTGACCTTGTTAGACTTAGTCAGTGTTTTCATTTGTTCAGCATTTATGAAACAACTGTCTGAAATCCAGTCCATGTTTTATCTTCTGCTTTCACAATGACTGTGCAGTTGCTGAAGGTGGAATTAAATTAAATACTACTTTCTATTATAGTTTTAAAGGTTTATTCCACCCAAATACTACTTTGTCCAAGCACTTATATAAAGAGGTGCATGTTGGGCAATTTGTGTAATTAGCTCATTATACTAATATAAATATTTAATAATATTCTATACCTTTGCTGTCACTACATATCAACCACGTTGAGAAATATCATTATAAAGAACATAATTACCAAGATTATTTAAACTTAATCTTAATCTTTAAACTTAACACAGGTGGGTTTAAGATGGCCGCAACCACCTGTATAACTAACCCTACCTGTGTTGATTGAGAAATTGCCAGAATACAGACGTATGAAGGCCGTGTTCCCTGAAACATGCGTGCAGCAACATTAAAACGTTAAAGTTAAAGCTAACAGTTTCTGCAAGCTATCATACGCTAACAGATTGTTTTCTGTTTGTTGTGCCTTTATCGTAGTTAGCTGCTCGGCTAAAGTTAGCTGACATTAACTTCGCTTCAAGTTCAAGACACCAAGAATTGTTTGTTAAGTGTGGAAAATATAAAAGTTGACTCACATTCAGTAACTCTACTCACACTTCAGTAGTCGTCCATCTCGTCCTTCAATCATGAAATACGGTTCTTGGTCATCCAGTTCGGTAGGTGGCAGTGTCACGAAAAAACTAGGGTCCTAAAATTGCGTTCCTGAAAGTGCAGCCTCTGGTACTGCAGGTGCATGCTACACACTACTTGAGCTTCCTGGTGGATAATTCAGTTTGAAAGAATCCCAGTAAATGGTGATTGCACCAATATGAGGCACCTGTTGACTTGAGTTTGTTTTACTGATTTCTACTCTCTCTTCTTACTTTTTCTACAGATATGGAGAACAAAGACTTCAGAAACAAGGTTCCTTGTGACCTCTGCAGTAAGACAGCTCTGAAATCCTGCCTGGTTTGCCTGGCTTCTTATTGCAACGATCACCTGCAGCCACATCACACAGTTCATGCCTTGAAGTGGCACAATCTGATCAACCCCGTGGCGACCCTCGAGGACAGGGTGTGCAAGAAACACAGCAAGACAAAAGAGTTTTTCTGCAGGAAAGACAAGAGCTGCATTTGCGTTGTGTGCTTGAGGGATGACCACGTGATGCACAAAGCCGTCTCTCTAGAGGAAGAGTTTAAGGACAGGAAAACTAAGCTGACGCGTGTGAAGAAGCAAGTCAAGGACACTCTGAAAAAGAAGTCTGCGATGGTTCAGGGAATTCAAAACTCAGTGACGCAAGGTCGGCAAGAGGTGGACAGATCTAAAGCCGAAACTATTAAAGCCTTCAATGCTCTGGTGGGCTTGATTGAGACGCAAAAGGTTTGGCTGATTCAGCTGCTGGAGGACAAGCAGAAAGCAGCAGAACAGCAGGCGGAAGCGCTCATCAGACAACTACAGCTCGAGATCACAGAGGACCATCGGAAGAGCACCGAGCTGGAGGAGCTCTCCAAGACCGAGGACGACTTTAGACTCCTCCACGGCCTCCCGTCTGTTCCTCACCATTCAAACACGACACACTGCTTCATCGCCAGAGCCCAGTGTCTCCTGCATGTAGAGACAGTGAGGAGTGCTGTGGCGAAGATGGAGGATACGCTGAACGAACAGATGGCAAATATTATCAGAGAAGTCAATCTGGTGGATAAAGAGGAGCCGGTTAAGGAACAGATGCAAATGGAGGATGTGTTTGGTGATGAGTTGGGGAATATCCAGCGGCAACATGCAAAGAATGTGACTCTGGACCCGAGCACGGCACACCCCTCCCTCCTTGTGTCCGAGGACGGGAAACAGGTGAGCTACGGAGGCAGAAATAGGGAAGTCCCGACCAACCCCAAAAGGTTTGACTCCCTCCATTTTGTCCTCGGAAACGAGGGGTTTTCTTATGGCAAGTTCTACTACGAAGTTACACTTCAGGGGCAAACTGACTGGGAAGTCGGAATGGCAAGAGAGACCATCGGCAGGAAGGGTCTTAATGTGTCCCTCAGTCCTGAAAATGGATGCTGGACTCTGGGGTCGTATTCGGGATGCGTCCAGGCCAATACAAACCCTCCCGTCCTTCTGTCCTTGTCTGAAGAGCCCCAAAAGGTTGGGGTCTTTGTGGATTATGAAGGAGGGTTGGTGTCTTTCTACGACGTGGATACCAGGGATCTGATCTACTCCTTTACAGGATGTGCCTTTAGTGTACCGTTCCTGAGTAATCTACTCTCATTCAGGATCTACAGGACCAGGATCTTCCCTTTATTCCGACCCAGCACTGAGGAGGACAGTGACTGTGCTCCTCTACAGATCACTCCTATCTGATCCTCAAACCAAAAGATGTGATTTAGTTTGTTAAAGACTTGCGTTACTTGCACAGACAAGTTTTAGTTGGGTAGTGGAGTCACAGGCAGAGAAATCCTGTAAAATAACTAAAAATACAGTAATTTTCTATAATTAAAATATAGTTTTTAGCTTTAATTCTACATAAAATCTTGTAATATTTTGTCTCTTTAATGTTTAATTTAAGATATTTACACTGTAAAACCAATGCAATGAGCTATAAATACATGTGAACTCTGCTATAATACAATAATCAGACTTACATTTACAGCAGAGTGCTGTTATTATTGGATTGTTATTATTTTAATCCGAATGTTAAAAGTTATAGAACTGTAATAAAGTCATTATCTGTGAGATTACAGTAATTATTGCTGTTTTCACTGATAAAAACTGGATTTGGACAGTTTACCAATGCTTATACACTGATAAACAACATTTATTCAATGTTTCTGTTGTTAAAACTTTCATAATTATACAAGATATGTCAATTAACAAACAAATCCATGTAAAATTACACAACAAATACTTTTAATGTCACTAATTTTACATAATTTTAAAAATAGTAAGTAAATCAAGTAAATCTTGAATTTAACAGTTTAATCTAGTTAATATCTGTGAAAAATATAATTATAAATTTGCAAATGTATTTCAACTTATGTGAAAAAAAGTTAATTTTCTTTAAATAAGCAGTAATTTTATGATTATTTACAGTTACATATTTATCGCGTTATTTTACATTAGACGTGAATTCACAGGATATTTTTGTAATTAGTATTTCCATGTAAAATAAACGTAAAAACCCCGTAAACTTACAGATTTCTTTATCACAGTGTAACTACGGTAGAGGTTGTCAGTAAATGTGAATCTGACATCTGACCTATGTAACCTTCAAAACCATCGCCATATTCGGAGATAATGTTTGGGATTTTTTCAGCAAATTTGAGTGAAACACAGACTTTAACTGTACTTTATCCGAATTCAGATGGGAAGTTTAATGGTGCGTTCAAGTAAGTACGTTTTGCAAAAATTGGTATCATGATGTTGTTTATGCAATGTTTTATATATATGAGGTGAATTTTTGCTTGCGTTTGGTGTGAAGAATTTAGATCAACTAATTCCTAAATCACTTGGGTTCCCCAGGTAATTCTAGTTAATTATCTTAAAAGCATTTCTTTAGTTTTAAATTGAATTATCCATTTTAGTTTTATAGTTTAATACATTGTATGTCCTGTTCAGTTTTGCTGCTTTAAAATTAAAGTCTACTGGCAACAAGAAGACACCAGCAAATCTAATAGTACAACATAAACTTTTTACATGAATTTAATGACAATGTACAATTAATATATTATGTCATAGTTAATGTTATAACTATATAATATTCTGTGTAGTGGATAATTACACATTTTATCACATAACTGTGGGCAATGTTTCTATGGACATACTATGGATACAAATAATCAAAACAGGATTTTCTTTTAGACTGTTGGTTGGACAGAACAAACTATTTATAAGTGATTAAAATAACTTTGTGTTTGAGTTGTTTGTGGGGTTTTGTCAGTGAAGGATCTTGTAAATAAAGTTTGTTGTTATTTGTACAATTCAAAGTGTTGCAGACTGTGATTTCTTACCACACTATGGGGCTCTATAGTCAGTACATCAGCCTGTTTGTCACACACAGTATGAAGAGTCCATGAGTTGCACAGAAAGCCCTTTAATAACAGAGCCTTGAGATCATAATCAGAGCAACACAGTACAACAATCTCTCAAAATAAAGAGCCAGTCATTAGTCAGCAACACTTTAACCACCAATTGTGGTAAATATCACATACCAAAAAAACAAAAACAAATATTCAACATCACATTAAAGAACAGAGGATGTGAGAGTTGAGTAAATGGCCAACAGGCTGTAGAACCAACCTTGTGGTACAAAGTCTTGTTTGTAATCATTAAAGTGAACCACTGTTAGTATATCTGTAAATACCAGAGGTGGGACTAAATCTCAAGTCCCAAGTTGTAAACTTTGAGTTTCAAGTCCTTAACAAGTCATTACAAAGTGGACTGCCCAATCCAGCACAGAGCAGCTTTACTCCTGAATCCAGCAGGTTGTTGTGACTCAAGTTAAACTTTCTCTGTCTCAAAATGTGTAAATTTGACACTAAACTTGGGTGGCCAGGCACTTTTTAGGGGCATCCCTCTAGATCCGCTGCTGCTTTAGACTATATAAAAGAATTGTACAAATATTTGTGTGAAGAGCTGCTGTCTTACACACTTCTCTGCGCTTTCTTTAGAACAGTCACCCACCCAAAACCCCATAGAGACCGTGTCTGTCCCCCCGACCACCTAAATTATTTAAAGAAATAAAAACAAGAGGAGTTCAACATAAAAATCTAATAAAAATTAAAACCAACTCCTCAGTATCACAAAATAAGAGAATGAAATGTGGGCTGTTAAATATCAGGTCTCTGTCCTCTAAAGCTGTTTTAGTGAATGAATTAATATCAGATTATGATATTGATTTACTTTGTCTTACTGAGACCTGGTTGTCCCACGAGGAGTATGTTAGCCTAAATTAATCCACCCCCCCAGTCATATTAATACTCACCCTAAACCTAAACTAAATTATAATTCATTTGAAAGCCTTGTTCTTAGTCTTTCTCACCCAAACTGGAAAACACTGCAGCCAGTTCTATTTGTTATAGTGTACCGCGCTCCTGGACCGTACTCTGATTTTATATCTGAATTTTCAGAGTTTCTATCAAGCTTAGTCCTTAAATCAGATAAAGTAATTATTGTAGGTGATTTTAATATTCATGTGGATGTTGACAATGACAGCCTTAGTAATGCATTTATATCATTAATAGACTCAATTGGCTTCTGTCAGAGTGTAAATAAACCAACTCATTGTTTTAATCACACTCTTGACCTTGTTTTATCATATGGCATTGATATTGAACATTTAATAGTCTTCCCACATAATCCTTTCCTATCTGACCATTATTTAGTAACTTTTGAATTCATACTATTAGATTATAAGCCATTAGGCAAAACTTCCTACAGCAGATGTCTATCTGACAGTGCTGTAGCTAAATTTAAGGAGGAGATTCCTTCAGTGTTTAATTCAATGCCATGTCTGAATTTAACAGAGTCCTATAATGACTTTAGTCCCTCTGAAATTGATAATCTTGTCGATAGTGCTACAGGCTCACTACGATCAACATTAGACTCTATCGCTCCTATAAAAAGGAAATTATTAAAACATAGGAGACTAGCACCTTGGTATAACCACCAAACCCGCCAGTTAAAACAAATAGCTAGAAAATCTGAAAGGAAATGGCGCTCTTCCAAATTATCAGAATATCGCTCAAATTGGCAAGATGATCTTAAGATTTATAGAAAGGCCCTCCGTAATGCCAGAGGAGCCTATTACTCAGCACTAATTGAAGAAAATAAGAACAACCCTAGGTTCCTCTTCAGCACTGTAGCCAGGCTGACAGAGAGTCACAGCTCTATCGAGCCACATATCCCCATAAACTTAAGTAGCAATGACTTCATGAGCTTCTTCTATAATAAAATTATTACTATTAGAGAAAAAATTAATCACCAACTGCCATCAACAGTTATCAGTGGCTCTCCAAGTTCAGGGACTTCTGTCAATGTAAACTTAGATGTATATTTAGACTGTTTTTCTGCTATCGATCTTCATCAGTTAACTTCAATCATTTCTTCATCGAAGCCATCAACCTGTCTATTAGACCCGATCCCAACTAGGCTGCTTAAAGAAGTTGTTCCCTTAATTGGCACTTCTTTACTGGATATGATTAATCTTTCTTTATTATCAGGATATGTACCACAGTCCTTTAAAGTAGCTGTAATTAAACCCCTTCTTAAAAAGTCCACTCTTGACCCAGGGGTTTTAGCCAACTATAGACCGATTTCTAACCTCCCGTTCCTCTCTAAGATTCTGGAGAAAGTAGTCGCCAAAGAGTTGTGTGACTTTCTACATAACAATAGTTTATTTGAGGATTTTCAGTCAGGATTTAGAGTTCATCATAGCACAGAGACAGCTCTGGTTAAAGTTAATAATGACCTTCTGACTGCTTCTGACAATGGACTTGTCTCTGTACTTGTATTATTAGATCTTAGTGCTGCATTTGACACCATTGACCATGATATTCTTTTACAGAGACTTGAGCATCAAATTGGCATTAAAGGAACTGCCCTAACCTGGTTTAAGTCATACTTATCAGATCGTTCTCAGTTTGTACATGTTAACGATGAATCCTCCATAAATACTGAAGTTAGTCATGGAGTTCCACAAGGTTCTGTACTTGGACCAATACTATTTACTTTATATATGCTCCCTTTAGGCAACATTATTAGGAATCACTCCATTAACTTTCACTGTTATGCAGATGATACGCAGTTATATCTATCAATCAAACCCAATGAAATTAATCAATTATCTAAATTACAAACATGTCTTAAGGACATAAAATCCTGGATGACCTGCAATTTTCTGATGTTAAACTCAGAAAAAAACGAAATTCTTGTTCTTGGCCCCAAAAACCTTAGAGACTCATTGTCTAAAGATATAGTCACTCTAGATGGCATTAACTTGGCCTCTAGCACCACTGTCAGGAATCTTGGAGTTATCTTTGATCAGGATTTGTCATTTAACTCCCACATAAAGCAGACCTCTAGGACTGCCTTCTTTCATTTACGTAATATTAGAAAAATTAGACACATACTATCACAGACAGATGCAGAAAAACTAATCCATGCATTTGTTACTTCAAGGCTGGATTACTGCAACTCTTTATTATCAGGTTGCCCCAATAAGTCCATTAAAACGCTCCAATTAATTCAGAACGCTGCTGCACGAGTACTGACAGGAACTAGAAAAAGAGATCACATCTCTCCTGTACTAGCTACTCTGCATTGGCTCCCTATAAAATGTAGAATTGAATTTAAAATCCTCCTCCTCACCTATAAAGCTCTTCATGGTCAGGCCCCTTCATATCTTAAAGAGCTCATAGTACCCTATTACCCCACTAGAACACTACGTTCTCTGAATGCTGGGCTACTTGTGGTTCCTGTAGTCTCTAAAAGTAGAACAGGAGCCAGAGCCTTCAGTTACCAAGCTCCTCTCCTGTGGAACCAGCTTCCAGTTGTGGTTCGGGAGGCAGACACCCTCACCACATTCAAGAGTAGGCTTAAGACATTCCTCTTTGATAAAGCTTATAGTTAGGGCTGGATCAGGTGAGTCCTGAACCATCCCTTAGTTATGCTGCTATAGGCCTAGACTATCGGGGGATTTCCCATGATGCACTGAGCTCCTCTCTTCCTCTCTCTTTCTGCACTCATTCATGTCCCTTTAATGCATGTTACTAACTCCACTTCTTCCCCGGAGTTCTTGTGCTTTCTCGTCTTGCAGGTTCTCATGGATCCTGGTGGAGCCTCCTGCCATGGTCCTGCTTGACTGCCATTGCCAATACTGTTGTTGCTGTGCACCTGTCTGTCTGTCTGTCGCTCTCTCTCTCTCTCTCTCACCCCAACTGGTCGAGACAGACGACCACCCACCTAGAGCCGGAGGATCTGTCCTAGGTTTCTGCCTTTTAACAGGCAGTTTTTCCCTTGCCCTTGTCGCCAAGTGCTTGCTCATGGTGGTACTGTTGGGTCTCTGTAATTAATGTTAAAGAGTTCGGTCTAGACCTGCTCTATTTGAAAAGTGTCCTGAGATAACTTCTGTTATGAATTGGCGCTATACAAATAAAATTGAATTGAATTGAATTGAATTGAATAAATCCAGTAGTGTGAAGCACTTTTAAAATCCCTCCAGTGAGTCCTCATTGGCTAAAAGTACAACAGTTATTCTCAACAGCTCCTGGAGGGTTTCATTGTTCTACTTTGCTGCCACCTGGTGATGGCATTAAGAATTACACTTGTAGATTACTACATTTTTGAGGAAACATTTTATACAATTCTCTGTCTGTATTATGTTTTTTTTTTAATGATTTTTAATATCACACAGACAGGGTTCTTTTTGGATAAATTCAGTGTTTTCTAGGCCATTTTTCTATTAGAATTTACTTTCTATTTACTTTTCTTCACAGTAGTGAACCAAATGCTGAGTTATAGACCTACTATGTGTATTTTTTAAGCTCTCTAGCAACCTTTAAATTCAAGAAGGCCTATATGACCCCCTATGAAGCTTTGGGGACCCGTAGTGGAGGGAGCCACTGGCCTAAATGCACCGACAACACTTTCCACATATGTATAAATTGATGCCTTTATTTTGAGTCATTGTGTGTTTGTTACCTTAGAATGAGATGTTTTTATCTACAGAGGGAGACAAATCTACAACTTTTCAAAGATTCAAGGTTATTTTTTTGTGAATGAAATTCAGATGTAGTTTCCTTTTAAGCTACTTACTACAAAAAAATTAAAAATAAAAATTGATTAAAGTTCATTTGTATGATGAATCGTTGAGGAAGTAGTCTGAGGGAAGAAGCTGTCTTTAAGTCTGGTGGTACAACAGGAGAAACTTCTCAACTCAACTTTATTTATACAGCACCTTTCATACAAACATCCATTTCATACGAGTGCTTCACATAGCAAAGCGGAAACAACACTTAAAAAAACAACAAACAACAATAAATACACATTTTTTAAAGACAATGAAATGTAAAACATCAAAAGATAAAAGAGTTCCATAGTCAGTGGTAATCAGCTGCATAAAAGCCAGTCTTATACAACACAAGCTTAAACTAATTTACAGCTTTAAAAACATGACCAAACCCTGAAGTGTACGCAATTCAAACACTCCCACGCGTTGCCCACAGAGCCAGTTTGTCAGGTCACCGGTTGCCCAACAGTAGCGTTGGGGAAGATACACTCTCTGATGAACTGCACTGAGTAGGTGTGACACTTTCTACAAGAGATTCAAAGGTATTTATAAAACGTGTTCTGTCAGGAGTGGGAAGTCCAGACTGTGTGAGAGGTGATAACCAAACAAAGAAGAGTCTGAAAGCTCACACGTATATTTTACCTCAGTGGTTCTTCGTCATTTAGTTTTATCTGTCCAGATTTTGAGATATACTACAACAATAGAGTTTAATGTTTGTGTTGTGTGTTTGTGTTAATGTAGTTTCTATGTTTGCTTTGGACAATCCACAGATCAGTTTTCTACCAAAGAAATAGTCCCTATAGAGACTGCTGACAGCGTGTTCTGTAGATAATTATTTTGTTATATGTGTTTGGTCCTTAAAATGTCAGAAACTGATTAAAAATGTTGGTTGATGTTTCCCAAATTCCAATGTGATGTCCTTAAATGTCTTGTAACCCAAACACATTTAGTTTGCTGTCATAGAGGGCTAAAGAAACTAGAAAATATTCACATCTGAGAAGCTGAAATTTGACTCAAAACCAATTAATTTATTGTCAAAAATGTTGGCAGACATCTCCAAATGTGGGTAAATAAAACCAAGTGAGAAGATGCCCGTTTACGACACCGTCCCTTTTAAAAAAAGTAAAACTCTAAACACCAAGCACTTTCCTTCATGAATACACGTGTCACCCACAGGTTCAGCCAATACTCAAAGACAAAAATAAAAAGCTTATACAATTTGTAATTTGTTCTTCCCTCCCTGTTTTGTTTTGAAGTAGCTGTTCTCAAACAATAATCTGCATCTGATAAAATGCCACAGTTGCTGAGACTGGCTGTAGGTCGGGGATCCAGCACGATAACGTCTGTAAGCAGGCAGAAAACAGCTGGAAGGTGACTGGAAGGTCACATTCACTACTGCATCTTCTTTAAAATCTGTTTAAAAAGGGGGAATAAATGTGAGTTTTCTTATTGGTTAATTCAAAAAAGGGTTTAGGCTTTATTCAGCCCAGAGGTACGAACGTGTGATTGTGGTCTTGGAGTTAAAAATCACCATTAAACGAAACTTAAATCCTAAATTGAGTCCTCGGAATGTAATCCTCGCCCATGTCTCCATCGCCCACGTCTCCATCGCCCACGTCTCCATCGCCCACGTCTCCATCGCCCACGTCTCCATCGCCCACGTCTCCATTGCCCACGTCTCCAAAGTGTAGTCTGTCGAAGTGTAGTCTGTCGAAGTCTCTGAAATAGGGTCTATGTTCCTCCTCCTTCTCCTCCTGTTGTTCTTCCTGATCCTGCTCCTCCTCCTTGATCGAAACACACACAAGAAGACGGAGAGGACAAAAGGGTTTTATACAAAAGGTTAAAAACAACTAAAGCAACATGATTAGCAATGGGTTTTTTTTTCAGCCTTACCAGAAGGTTTGTCCTGGCCTTCGCCTTACAGATGATAATGGTAACCACAACGAGTACGACGACAACGACAGACAGAAGGATCACAAGTGTTACCATGTAAACATCTGCAATCAAAAAAATTATTACGTTTCATTGTTCGGACATTTTAGGATTTAAAAGAAGTGTTCAAAGGATAGTAATTATTCAGAGATTTCCCCCTGGTGCACAAACATATGTAGATCTTAAAGAATATGATGCATTGCTTTAGATTAAACAACCCAACAGTATATAAAGTAGTTCAAATGAGCTCAATCTTAAACAGCTCCACATTAATGCAGCAGTAATATTCATCCAAAACATCAATATAATAGTAAAACACAGACAGGGAACATTTTACTGCAGAATGAATCTGAATACTTTAACCTCCTTTAACACAAATTCAACCTTCAAATCTCTATAAATTCTGCCCAATCAGAGCAGTTCCTGCGTGCAAAACACTGAACTTATTCTTACTGGAACAAGTTGCCTTTGATTTTTAGTATTAGTAGTTTAGAAGTATAGCAACATGTTCACTTTCTTCCTAAAAACCCATTCAATTTTTTAGAAAAGCTGCAGTGAAATCAGGCCTTTTAGACCACAACAACCCCCCCAAAAATCCTGTAAAATCCTGGAGGCACAGCTTTAAGTAGATTTAGCTGATTTAACTTTTACTTAAGTAAGGTTTTGAATGCAGGAATGCTGAATTTTATTGCAGCGCCGGACATTTAAGGCCATCACAGACTTTGTCCCTCAAAGAAGCTGTAAAGGATCTTCTTTGTAAAAAGGTAAACATGCTAAATATTCTTTCAAACACACAGACACGTTTTGGTGCAGTGAGAGTCTGAGGAAACCTTACCGGTAGATTGAGTAATACAGATTTCTTTCTTCTGTGGTATGAACTTCACTTGGCCGACATTAATACTATCAAACAACAATCCGTTCAGCACAACGCACTTCACATCCTCAGGAGACGAGATGTCGTGTGTGCAGTTTTCCTGATACAAGTTGCATTCACTGTCAAATTCCTCCTGAAAGTCACAGAACAAGATAATATCAAACATCGCTACTTAGCTTATATGGATGTTATTACATTAACAATAATAACATCCATTGTTTTGGAGCGGAGGCAGAGAAGTAGAGTAGAGTGAAGTGACATTCATTTCTGCTTGCAGCATTCCCGCTGTAAAATTATTTGTACTTACATTAGACACTACGACACTGAAGTGAAAGGAGGCAGAATCCTTCTTTTTGGCCAGGTTCAGTTCTCTGTAGAAGTGGAAGGGGTTCCTGAAACTAATCACGGCCCCTGAATCCTTTTTAATCAGAGCCACAGGAGGAAAATATAATTCACCTGCAAGAAAAATCTTAGTTTTATTCATGCAAAAGAAACTTTAATTAGAACCACATTCTAGTACTTCTGATTTACAGGGGAAAAAAACACATCTTTACATATGCACATTGCTTACATTGTATAGAGGTCGTCTTTACAGAGTTAAAGGCGAATGTTTCAGATGTCACTGGTTGAGACCGGGTTCCTCCCTGTATGGCGGTTACAGTGACGTAATATGAGCCCATGTAGTGCGCCTCAGATTCCCAGATGAAGTCGCTCAGATCATATTGATGGTCTGTGATCCTAAACTCCTTCCTGCAATGAGCAACAGTACAGAAAAAGAAAAAGAAAAAGAAAAAGAAAAAGAAAAAACACCATTCAGAAACAAAAAAACATCAGATTTATGCTAATTTTACCTCCAGTATCTTAATTAAAGCACTAAATAACTTCATAATTGATTAACAATTTTAATTTGACTGCATTTTTAAAGCTTATCAGGACCAGTTCAGAAGTTATCAGTCGTTGTAATTTGCGTTAATTAATTGACGGGCTGTCCGTGAAGACACAGACCGATTCTCGACCCAAATTAAGGCCCTTACTGATGTTGACTGTAGCCCAATAACCATCAGACGGCATCTGCGACAGAAGGGCTTAAAGAACAAAATACGTCTTCAAAGGCCACGTCTCTTGCAAGGGAGAACCAAACGTGGGACATTGAAAGGTGGAAGAAAGTTTTATTCTCTGATGAGAAAAAATTTAACCTGGACGGTCCTGATGGCTTCCAACGTTACCGGCATGACAAGGAGACCCCACTGGAGATGTTTTCTATGCAGCACAGTGGAGGAGGCTCCATCATGATCTCAGGAGCTTTTTCCTTCAATGGAACAATGGAGCTTCAGGTTGTGCAGGGGCGTAAAACCACGGCTGGCTAAACTTTTTAAGTGATGAGCAACAACGATGGGGCTACTCACTACTGAGTCCCTTTCTGACATGTTTAGTTCAGTTTTTAGTTTTTTTTGGGCTATGGTCTTAAACTTTTGATCTGCTGTTTGAGTTTAAATGCAGTTTTCAATAAATTGCCTACTCTATGTTTTTGTCTCTTGTTTCTGTTTTATCTTTTTGCATTTTGAAGTTCTACTTACAACCTCGTTATGTTCCACTAGCACAAAATGCAAATACTGTAAAACTCCCAATAAAAGCAGGGTCCCTAACAGACACAGGTCTCTTTTAAAAGCCTGGTGTGGCTACAGGTTTTGACAAATAAACGCAGGTCTCCAATAAAGGCCTGGCCTGAATTTTACAGAAATTATCTGAATGTATAAAACATCTTAAAACCCGCTTGGTCCACTGATCAAAAGAATCAAAGGCTTTCATTAAAATTAATCCGAGTTGTGAATAATATCACGTGAAGTCGGTTGCTCACTGATTGTACCTCAGCTGCCGTAAAACATACGACGTTCACGTTCACGTGTCATGGTGCTGGCATAGAATTTTTTTTTACTGTAAGTTGTCAAATTTACTTAACAAAACTCAAGAGAAGCAGTACAGTTAGAGAGGTTTTCCATCTGAGATTTGTGCTGAAGGACGCCTGTCCCAAATAGAGGCCTGTCCCCAATAAAGGCAGAAGGAGTTCAGTGATTTAAGCAAATAAACGCCCGGGCTACTATTAGAAGTTTACGGTACTTTTTCCCCCCGGTCTTAAGATTTGGTTCAGGAATGTATGTCTTAACGCATGTCTTGGAAGGAATCTTCTTCTTAATCCAAAGTTTACATTCACTTATTTCAGCTTCAGGGTGGTTGAATCTTACCCGTAGGAACCGCTGATATTCATGCTAAAGACGGTTTGTGGTTGCAGCTCGCTGTATTTCCAGCTGACGGTGACTCTGAGATTCTGGCAGCGCACTTTCAGGTTTGTTGGAGAAGGAACTGCGAATAAAAACAGGAAAAAGACTAAAAAAAGACCCATAAACAGACGTGTAAGCTGAACACGCTATCTTAGAGGAAAACTCTACACCAAACCATCATATAGAGGCTATGTGTTAGTGTGTTAGACTGATAACCTGTTAAAAATAAGGTTTGTGAGAACTGATACTGGACTTATCAACACTTTCTTTACACCTTTAGTAAAAAAAAAAACCTTTTTGTTTACTTTATCAATCTCCTCTCGACCATGTGGGGGTTTGTCAAACATTTCTAGGACTGAACGAGTCCCAGAAACCACAGAAACAGGCTGGGACATCCAGAAACTCTCCATCTTTTTACAATTATTAACTGAAGGAAGAAATCTGGAAAATCTGTTTTTAGGATTAAGATTAATCACACGGTTATAAAATGGCCATAAATTCACTGGACGGAGAAGATAAATTGATATCTGGAGCCTTGAACACATCTTTAACCCTTTAACCTTCTCATGTTTATGGCTTTAAATTATTATTTTCACTAATGAGTGATCAATTAATTAAGAAAAAGTAGTTCATACAACTATAAATTCTCACAAATGTTCATTAAGTTCAAAAAGTGTTTGGTTTATGATATAAAAACAGACAAAAGGAGACTTTAGGCTTCACAGGTTCATTATTAAATACTTTTAAACATATTTTTACTACTCTCCGATAAACTAAAGCTCAAATCAATATTCTGTTAAATTCATCAAAATATGTGTATTTGGATGCAGATAAGTGAGTGTGCAGCCTTTATAGAAGTAAAATAACGAGCTATATTTATTTAATTTACACACATTAAGTGTGTTTGTACACGTTTATACTGCGAGATTACCGGTTTAAATAAAGGATTAAATTAAAACTAAATGTTAATGTTTTGGAAATATCTATATATATTCTGCAGCTACACTTTGAACAACACACATTTTTACATTTAATTCTATTTATTTATTGGTATTATTTAGTGTACTGAGCAGTAAAACTTCTACTCGAGTTATTATATTTATTTAAAATATATACTTTAAAAAGTCTAACTTTACTTTTTACTATTTTTTTAAGTAGTTAATCAAAACTCTGATGTAGTATAAACCTCCAATATAAAAGAGTTTTAACTTACCAATCACAGCAGAGCCTCCACTGACCAGGAGGAGAAGGAGGGCAGTGAACGTACCTTCCAGCGACATGGTTCTGGGTTCGGACCCGGTTTCAAACTGACCTGCAGTTTCTGATTCTGGTCCGTGAGGGACTCCACACACACACACACACACACACACACACACACACACACACACACACACACACACACTTCTACCTCATACCTGGCTCGTGAGTAACCACAGTGAGAGAAACACACCTTAATGACGTCACTGTGGATTTTTATTGTTTCTTTTTTCAAAATAAAAGATTTAGATATTTCAGGAATTGAATTAAAGGAGATACATAAATAAACTTACGTAGGTTGATTGAATGGATAGGCTTAAGTGTTTGAGGAATAAAATAAATAAAGAATAAAGAATCTGAAAAATATTGATCCCCTGGTTGCTTAGACATTATAAGAAATGAAAATAAGAAACAGGACATTACAATAAGTGTATTATCTTACAAAATATACCAACTATATATAGAAAATGTAAAAATATACAATAATAATGTGCATTATACTGCAGTATATAACAATATAGAAAATAACAATATACAGTATAAAGGAAGTGTAATGAAAAAAATACTAAAAGGCTGAGAACTGGATCCATTAATAAGTAATGAAAAACAGAACAGTTTAATTTCAGTATTAAATATTATATAAATAAATGTGATATTTCAGCCACACTGAGATTAAGAACCCATTTGTACTTAAGGAAACATCTATATGTATTTAATTTAATTTAATAGTAAATAAAGTAAAATGTTTAGTGGATATAGATAAATTGATGTAATAGGGTGTTTAGAAACCAAATTATTCTCAATTATTCACAGGTGAACAGAAGTCCTTTTATTGTGAAGTCAATATAATTTAATTTCCAGTTTTGAACAGGTGAATCAGCTGTGAAAGAAAACTGGTGTTTGTCGCCACCTACAGTTCCTTTATTGTGTCAGCTCACATCCAACTTTATTTTATTACTTTCCATGTTTTATATTAAACACTTTAAACTGTCTTAAATTTAACTTGCCTAACAGCATAAACACAACTTAATCCTCCAGTAATAACTCAGTTGTTTTACCTGCACTTAAAGTTGTGCAGTATTTTAAATATTGGTGATATAATTCTCATTTTCTTTAAATTTACTCTATATTTTTACAAAATGTCAGCCCCCAAATTAATTGGCTACCATATTAAACATCAATTAATTGTATATATATATTTTTTTTAATTACATATCAGCTGTTTTATCAAGTAATATATTAATTTAATAATAAGGAAAATTGTGTAAATTCAGTTTACGTTAAGTGGTAACATTTCTATAAAGAAGACACATTTAAGTTACTTTATTATAATAAATAACACATTTTAAAGAAGAAATGCTGCACATGAGTGTAATACATTTACTAGTTTTAAGTACAATTTACTTAATTTACCTTTTCTTAACACTAAATAAGTTACTTGTACTCAAGTCAGAGTAACTCAGGGAGTCTGGAACGGGTTGAAAGAGTCTGTAATTCAACTTCTTAAAGGTATCTTATATTTCAAAACAATGCAAACAGCAGTTTCTATTCATTGTTATATCATCAATTTATATCGTATGTATAAACAACAAATCTCTCTTCTTATCAGCCTTTTTTATTTTACTTGTATATGAAACAGGTTGTTTAAACTCCTATTAAACAACTAGAAAATTAATAATATTAATCTTACGGAGCAGATTATATCTCAATGTGCATTATATGTAGTTGTATCACCCACTATTGATAAGTATTGCACAATCTGCACCTCTTCTGTGGCTGAGGTTAATTTAATAATGAGCTTTAACTCTTTAAAGTCAAGCAGGAGAAGTTAAATAGCAATGTGCGTCTCAGATTCAAATGAATTAACTGAAGCAAAATGAAGATTCAGTGTTATTATCAGGTTAACAGGCTCATATTCAAGTACAAATAACTCTTAGAAGAAGCAATAAAGCATAAATCAACAGCATCAGTGAAAAGCTAAAAGCCTCTTAAAGGATTACAGCTGCAGTCTTTTACCGAGTCAGATAAAGAGAAGAGAAACAATATTCTCTCAGGAAAAAATCATCAAAACAGCCCCAACATGGGGGAAGAAGGACTCTGCTGTAATCATCTTTTATAAAGTAAGTTCTCAACCTTTAAAGGCTCGTTAGCTCCTCCTCACGAGGACCTGTAGAGTAAACCATCGAGCCCCCCCCCCCCCAACCTTGTTCAAGGCTTAGAGAGATACAACTCTCAGATATTTCCACCAAAATGAAACTGAAAGATTAGAGAGAAACAAAGTCCAAAAACATAGTCTGAAAATGTATCAGAACCTCTTAATCATCTCATGACCTGCTGGTCGGAGGAGTACTGAATGTTTTATTCATGTTGATTTATGTTTTATATGTCAGTGTCTTCATGTTTATGGGTTGTATTTAATAAATACGTTATACCATCATCCTCCTGTGTTGTATTCATTTATAGTTTAAGAAATGATGATTATGTGTGTTATATGTTATTTTTTATTGTCATGGCTTCTATTCTGCTCTTATTATTTTATTACTTTATTTTTATATTTAATTACATTTTGTGTATCACAGAAGCACTTTGTAAACTCTGTTTTTAAAAGGTGATATATAAATAGAATTATTGTTATAACTGTCATTATTATTATATTATTTTCTATATTTTCGTAATCATTTGTTTTATAATATTAATCATAATAATAATATAGTATTATATTAACTGTAATACAGTATTATCAGTATAGTGATATAATAGTAATTTATTATTATTATTATTTGATTTGTAATTTTTTATCTTCTATTATTAATAGATAATAGTTTTATTTATTTATTTTTCTTTATTAATATTAATAATGGTTTTATTAATATTAATATGGTGTTCTTAATTAATTATTTAATTTTTTATTCATCCTTTATATAATAATAATAATAATATAATTAACCTAATAATAATAATAATAATAATACAACTTTTGTGATAGATTATTATTTTAATTTGCATTTGATTTATCCTTTATATAATAATAATTATTATTGGTATTATTATTATTATTATTATTATTATTTAGACTTTAAAGTTGTCTTGTTTGGTTTTGTCCCTTTTTAATACATATTATTATTAGTAGTAGTTAAATTAGTTACATTAGTGACAGTAGTTACAGTAGTTACAGTAGTTACAGTAGTTATAGTATTAGTATTTCTGAGGGGGACTTTATTGTGGTTATGTGATGTTCATCTTGTAAATAAAGTTTGCTGGATACATATAATCAAAACAGGATTTTCTTTTAGACTGTTGGTTGGACAGAACGAGACATTTGAAGACATCACCTTTAACTCTATTTTTCCCTTTTTATAAATGATTAAAATAACTTTGTGTTTGAGTTGTTTGTGGGGTTTTGTCAGTGAAGGATCTTGTAAATAAAGTTTGTTGTTATTCGTACAAATTAAAGTGTTGCAGACTGTGATTTCTTACCACACTATGGGGCTCTATAGTCAGTACATCAGCCTGTTTGTCACACACAGTATGAAGAGTCCATGAGTTGCACAGAAAGCCCTTTAATAACAGAGCCTTGAGATCATAATCAGAGCAACACAGTACAACAATCTCTCAAAATAAAGAGCCAGTCATTAGTCAGCAACACTTTAACCACCAATTGTGGATTCAACATCACATTAAAGAACAGAGGATGTGAAAGTTGAGTAAATGAGCATGGCACAAATGTTGTGAACCACCTTCTGTAAATACCAAAGATGGGGCCACGTCATTGTTTTTATTAGTATCAAAGTCTTTGCACGCAAGTCCCAAGTCCTACACTTTGAGTTTCAAGTCCTAAATCATAACACGACCACTTCATTTTTGTATCTGAACAAAATTATACAAAATAATGTTAGTACTTAAAGCTGCAGTAGGTAAATCGCTGAAACGTTCACTGTATCCTGATAATCTGTGACCAAATCAGTTTCCTCTGGCTCCCCCTAGTGCGTAAAATAAAAAGTTATAAAAATAAAAAATATCCTCTGTCATATAGCTGTGTTGGCAAATAAAAATAAAAAAGGGCACCAGCATGCAGTGATGCATTTATGGTGAACCAACTTTCCTGTGAAAGGGCACTTCACCACATTTTATCCACTGAAAAAGAACCGTATAATGCACTTGAATCTTGTTTTGTCCACTGGACATTACATTTACATTTACATTACATTTTCTCCCCCTGGAAGGGCACTTTTGTGGCATATTTTTGAGTTTCACTGAGTCCACCTCTGGTTGGTATATATATTATCAAACAGTATATATGTACATGTACATGTGTATCAAACAAGCCTGTCAGCAGTGGTTGGTTAGCACTGACTTGCCATAGAGAGGTAACTCTCTTTCCTACAGCTCACACAAAGATACTGAGGAGCAAAACATCTCTTTAAACCAGAACCCAAAAGCTGGATAGAGAGGTTCAGTGAATGTGCAGTGGAAGGTGTGGAGGTGGAGCATTGTGTCAGAGGACACTCTGTAGAAGGACAGAATACCAGCATCCCAGTCCAGAAACACTCCAACTCTGCGAGAGACAGAGGGAGAAACCTCTACCTCGATTACTTTGTTATTGTGCCAGGCGGAGTATTTGTCGTCAGAGCAGACCAAGGTCCAGGACATGTTACTCCCTCCAAGCCAGCAGGCAATATAATTACCCTTTCTCATGATTCCTTTGTAAGTTACCCCTATAGAAACATATCTACGCCACTCAACCTCCCAGTAACAGCGTCCAGTCAGACCATTTCTACACAGCACCTGGGTCCAGTGATTAAACCTCTCTGGTTCAGCATACAAATATTCATCTGGCTTTTTCCGATGTATTAGCCCCTTCACCACCCTGTTGTCTTCAGACAGATCAATGTCAAGATGGGCTGTGTCTGGGTTCATTGTGAGATAGCAGGCATCTGGTGAGAAAAATACCAAGTGAATAAAGTTGCTGTGATATGTTTCTAAGGGCCTGTCTACACAGGACACATTTCAGCTGTTTTTAAGTTCATCGTCCATCCAGATAATATCTATTCAGCAGTCTACCTAGGATACATGATGGCTTTTCTCACACTACTAGAATGGATGTAAATGCAACCTGAAGCATATTTTTCTATTTTCAGCTGTTTTCAAGACTGATCAAAGAATAGATACTGACACATTTTCTTGTAATTATTACACTTCATTTCTCAAGTTCAGTTAACTTTAATCAGTTGGTTTTGTATTTTCACAACTTGTGATGATGACAATGTGATGACGCTAAACTATTCAACTGTAGTTATACTGTAGATGAAACAACTGAATAACAAACAATACAGTACTTACACTTCCTCAGAAGTGGTTTCAGCCTCTGGGCTCCTCCATTGTCTATCCTGAGGTGAGAGGTAAAGAATGTCAGATCAGCATATTCTATTATAGAAACATGAGCATGAAATGGGGGCAAGGGTCTCTATACCTGAGAATCTCCAGTCTGCAGAGTGGGTCCTGAAGTCTAGCAGACAGCTGCTTTACTCCTGAGTCTCCTGGATGATTGTAGCTCAGGTCAAGCTTTCTCAAACTGGTTTTGAAGCTCAGAGCTGAAGCCAGAGAAGCACAGCCTTTCTCTGTTACCTGACAGCCCGACAGACTACAAACAAACACACATAGCAAGTGTTATAGCAAGCAAACACCTTTCTAAGGTGCTAATGGTAGAACAATTGTCATCTGTGTAGTTTAAGGACTTGTGACCTGAGTGTTTTCAGTCGACAGTGAGGACTTCCCAGTTCAGTGGAGAGCTGCATCACCCCTGAATCCTGCAGGTCGTTGTTACTTAGATCAAGTTCTCTCAGACAAGAGGACTGAGAGTGGAGTGCTGAAGCCAGAACTCTGCAGCTTTCCTCTGACAAACCACAGCAACTCAACCTGAAGAAATCAAATTCAGTATGTTTTTAATCAGTGATTAAACTGGATAAACACGCCACCAACACAGAAGAAACACTGCATAACTTGAGCTGACCTGAGAGTTTCCAGTTTCCAGTTAAGACTCTGTAGACCAGCTGAGATTAGCCTCACTCCTGAATCCCTCACAACGTTGATACTCAGGTCCAGCTCTTGCAGACTGGACGAGCAGGAGCTGAGAACTGAAGACAAGAAGCCACAGCTTTTCTCTGACAGGCCGCAGTCAATCAGCCTGAAAGAATAAGAAATTCAATTATTAGTATCTTTTATTCAAAAACCAACTTTAATGCTAATTCTCAGTTTAAGTCGTAAGTGAGACTAAAAATCTCACAGGAAACCAAACTGTCCACAGTGTAACTTTAGTCATACCAATTGCCATCTCTTAAAAATTTAAAATTCTATAAGTTGAAGAAAATGTATTTTCTTTTTTAGTATTTAGGAGAAGGTGATGGTTGGAGAAGGTGCACTGGAATTTGAAGCTGTATGGAAGTCAGGGCAATGTTCAGGGCAGGATTGGATAAATACAAAATGGTATTGTCAGCATAGGATTATGTGAGAGCTCCCAGCAGCAAGAGCAACATTATTTATGTAGATCTTAAAAATGGATGAAAGTGTATGATCAATTAAAGTTTTACATTACATTTATTGTTAACATTTTGTAACTTTGTAGATATTCAAATTAAAATGTTGAAAATAATGTCACTATGTTGAAAGGTTTTGGGTGATGCAATGTTTTGCTCAAAACATAATTGACTAAAAAGACCACAACTAAAGTGCTGATACCAAATAGAGATGGAAGTAAATGGGAATGATTTCACCTACGAAATGGACGACTGTGCCATGTCCTCTTAGATGTGTTATGAAGGGTGAAGAGATCAGTTATTTGATGCCAAACCATGGTACAAGAATAAGCAAATAATGCTTTAGTCGCCTATGCCAGCTCCACATCTGGCTCAAGGGTTATTGTCAGAGATATTCCATTTGTTGACAATTTTGTCGCCATTTTATTTCGGCCTCAATTTTTTAAGCCGGACGGCCTCCATCCTTCACTGGAAGGCTCACGCTTCTTATCCACCAACACTGAACTGACTCTGTGCTCCTGTAAAGCCTTCATATCCTGACCTGCAATGAGTCCATTTAACTGTACCGCCCCAGACTCCTACAGTATTCCTGTCAGAATTATGCCTAGATTTAAAACCCACTACTCTATGCGCTCTGTCTCTTCTACTGCTGGTTACGGTTTACTGTGGTATTTCCCCTCCAGTTAAACCTCTTATCACAGTTGTCTGTGCCCTTCTGAATGCACAGTCTATGGCTAATAAATCCTTCATTCTCAATGATCTAATTACATACCATAAGCTTGATTTTCCTTATCTTACTGAAACCTGGCTAAAGCCTGGGGAGTGCTCCCCGCTAGTGGAGCTCTGCCCATCCAGTTACACATTTTTAAATTCAAAGGCTAACAGGCCGGGGTGGAGGAATTACAGTTGCCTTTAAAAAACATTTTACTTGTATTCCACAAAGCCTTGGCTCTTTTAACAGTTTTCAATTCAATTCAATTCAATTTTATTTGTATAGCGCCAATTCATAACAGAAGTTATCTCAGGACACTTTTCAAATAGAGCAGGTCTAGACCGAACTCTTTATAACATTAATTACAGAGACCCAACAGTACCACCATGAGCAAGACCTTGGAGACAAGGGCAAGGAAAAACTTCCTTTAAGAGGCAGAAACCTAGGACAGATCCTTCGGCTCTAGGTGGGTGGTCGTCTGCCTTGACCAGTTGGGGTGAAAGAGAGAGAGAGACAGAGAGAGAGAGAGAGAGAGAGAGAGAGAGAGAGAGAGAGAGAGAGAGATTTTGAAATCTTAACTTTTTAAATTGTGCGTGAAGACCCTATCTGCTTTATAATAATTTACCGCCCCCCCAATTCCAACTCCAGCAGTGGTTTCCTCACTGAATTCTCTGAGATACTGTCCTCTCTTGTGCTCACATTTGATGAGGCCATTATAGCTGGCGACTTTAACATTCATATTGATAAAACTTACAATCCATTTGTCACAGACTTCTTAAACATTTGTAAATCTTTTAACCTTGTGCAATACGTCTCTGGCCCTGCACATAACTGTGGGCACACCCTTGACTTAATTTTTACTCTGGATCTGTCTCTCATTTCCCTGATCATGCATGACTTTCTCTCTGACCACAAATGTATTACTTTTGATACACATTTTATGTATCTGCTTCACCATCCTAGAAACATATAATCCACTCTTGCATCTTTAATAATCAGTCAGCAGCCACATTTTGTGACACAGTTCCTACAACATTTTAAAAACCATCATCCCTGTCTTAGGTCCTAGCCTGCTTTCTATCATCAATTCCTCTCTCACATCAGGGTCCGTACCAGACCTTTTTAAAATCACCAGTGTTCAGCCACTTCTTAAAAACCCTTCTCTCAATCCAGACCAGTTAGAAAACTATAGACCTATCTCCAAACTTCCCTTTTTATCTAAAATCCTTGAAAAGATTGTCGCGGACCAGCTCCTGAAGCTGGTAGAAGGTTTTCGCCAAAAACATAGCACCGAGACAGCATTCTTCTTATTCTTCTCGATCTGACTGCAGTCTTTGATAACATCGATCATGCCATTTTACTTGATAGATTACAGAACTGGGTTGGCATTTCTGGTACAGCATTAAACTGGTTTCATTCCTATTTATCTTATAGAGTCTTTAATGTCTGCATTAATAATCATGTGTCCTCCTCTGCTCCCCTGCTGTGTGGTGTCCCTCAGGGGTCGGTTCTTGGTCCAGTTCTGTTTTCCCTGTATATGCTTCCTCTGTGTCATTTCTTCAGCCGCTTCCATGACATGTCATACCACTGTTATGCCAATGATACACAGATCTACTTCTCTGCGAAACCCAATAACCTGAATCAACTGTCATCTCTCCATGAGTGCTTAGCTGCCATCAAAGACTGAATGTCTCTTAATTTTCTCCACTTAAATCCTGACAAAACTGAGATCATTTTATTTGGCCCCGAAAAACTGCGGTTGATCAGTTTATTGGACCATTACACACAAATATCAAACCCACTGCTAAGAATCTGGGTATCATCTTCGACCAGTATATGACATTTAACCTTCATGTCACAAAACTTGTCCAGTCCTGTTTCCTGCTGCTACGAAATTTAGCAAAAATCAACAGATTCCTGTCCTCCAGTGATCTTGAACAATTAATTCATAGCTTCATTTTCTCCCATCTAGATTACTGTAACTCCCTCTACACGTGCCTCAGTCAAGCTTTGTTAAATCGTTTACAGTTAGTCTAAAATGCAGCCGCCATTTTTTTATAACCAGAACCAGCCGTCGGACCCACATTACTCCTGTTCTCGCATCCCTTCATTGGCTTCCTGTAAAATTCAGAATCAATTATAAGATCTTACTGATTATATATAAGGCACTTTATGACCCTGCCCCCAGTTACATTTTAGATCTCCTTGTTTCTCATTACAATCTTCGGCCACTTCGCTCCTCAAATCTAGGCCTTTTATCCATTCCCCGCTCTAACTATAAAACTAAACATTTGACACTTTGACATTTGCTGTTTTAGCCCCAACATTGTGGAACAGTCTTCACCAGTCACTCAGATTCACTGAATCTGTGGACTATTTTAAGTAGCTGATCAAAAGCCACCTCTACAGGCCTTTTTATAGATCTCCTTGTTTGTTTCCTCATCTGTTGTCTCTCTTTTAATTTATTCTTTCCCTCTTGTTTTGTCTTCCTTGTTTGTGTTTACATGCTCCATATGTTTGTTTTATTGGTTATGGTTATACTGTTATGTTTATCTGTTGTTTGTAAAGCACTTTGGATTTCTGGGTCAAAAAGGTGCTATATAAATAAAGCTTTACTTACTTACTTACTTGCTTACTTTAGGTTATGGTATAAAGTACATATTTGTGAGAAACATTTCTCCAAAATGCCCAAATGTAAATTGCTCTGACCTGAGAACTTCCAGTTTACAGAACGGACTGCCCAATCCAGCACAGAGCAGCTTCACTCCTGAATCCAGCAGGTTGTTGTGACTCAAGTTCAACCTTCTCAGACTGGAGGACTCTGAGCTGAGGACTGATGAGAGCTCCACACAGCATTCATTTGTGAGACGAGTTTGATTCAACCTAACAGTGAAATGAAACACTAAATTTTTAGGTGTTAAGCTTTCCAGACACCCCTATCAAACATTCATGATGTTCACAACCATGTTCTTAATTAAGTACATTTGGGCAGGGAACAGTTTAAGAGGTAAAGGATCAAAGTTTATCTAACCTCAAGGTTTCCAGTCTACAATTTGGACTCTTCAGTCCAGGACAGAGCAACATCACTCCTGAATCAAGCAGGTCGTTGTTACTCAGGTCTAGCTCTGTCAAACTACAGGCCTGGGAGCTGAGCATTGTTGCCAGGACTGTACAGCTTGTCTCTGACAGGTTACAGCCACTCAGCCTGAAAAAGAAAAATGAAGATAAAACATAACAGTGGAAAGGACAGTGGAGGTTCAGTGCATTTAAGTATGCTAAATCTATATAAATACAGTGTATATTTGTGCCTACAGAGATTTGTTAGATGATCTGATCACTGGCAGCAGCCTTCGAAAACCCTCCTCCGAAGCAGAGTATTTATTCAGGTCAAACACGTCAAGATCTTTTTCTGATGAGAGTAAGATGAAGACCAGAGCTGACCAGTGAGCAGGAGATAGATTATGTGGTGAGAAATGCCCTGAAAGCAGGTACTGTTGGATCTCCTCCACTAGAGAATGGTCCTTAAGCTCATTCAGGCAGTGGAACAGATTGATGCTTCTCTGTGGAGAGAGATTCTTCTTGATCATCTTCTTGATGTATTGGACTGCTTTCTGGTTTGTCTGTGAGTTACTTCCTTTAAGTGTTTGCAGACCTCGTAGAAGAGCCTGATTAGTTTTCAATGAAAGACCCAGCAGGAAGCGGAGGAAGAGGTCCAGGTGTCCATTTGGACTCTGCAAGGCCATGTCAACAGCACTCTGGTAGAGGTTTGGAGATGTATCCTTGAATAGGATCCATTTGGATCTTGACTTGGCCTCAGACAGTAGGTTGACTCCAGAGTTGATGAATGTCAGATGGACATGAAGAGCAGCCAGAAACTCCTGAACACTCAGATGGACGAAGCAGAAGACCTTGTCCTGGTACAGTCCACTCTCCTCTTTAAAGATCTGCGTGAGCACTCCTGAGTACACTGAGGCTGCTCTGATATTGATGCCACACTCTGTCAGGTCTGATTCATAGAAGATCAGGTTACCTTTCAGTAACTGCTCAAAGGCCAGTTTTCCCAGAGACAAAATCATCACCACAGTGTTTGGATTCCAGTGTGGATCTGTCTCAGCTCCTCCATCATACTTGATGTTCTTCAGTTTGGACTGAACCACCAGGAAGTGGATGTACATCTCAGTCAGGGTCTCAGGTAGCTCAACCCCCTTTCTGGTTTTCAACACATCCTCCAGAACTGTAGCAGTGATCCAGCAGAAGACGGGGATGTGGCACATGATGTAGAGGCTTCGGGATGTCACAAAGTGGGACTTGATTCGGCTTGTCAGCTTCTCATCTTTGAATCTCTTCCTGAAGTACTCCTCCTTCTGTGTATCATTGAACCCTCTGACCTCTGTCACCATGTCAACACACTCAGGAGGGATCTGATTGGCTGCTGCAGGTCGTGTGGTTATCCAGAGGTGAGCAGAGGGAAGCAGTTTCCCCCTGATGAGGTTTGTTAGTAGCACATCCACTGAGGTGGACTTTGTAGCATCAGTCAGGATTTTATTGTGAGCGAAATCCAAGGGAAGTCGACACTCATCCAGACCATCAAAGATGAACACAACCTGAAACTCTTCAAACCTGCATATTCCTGCTTCTTTGGTTTCAGTAAAGAAGTGATGAACAAGTTCCACCAAGCTGAACTTTTTCTTTTTCAACAAATTCAGCCCTCTGAAAGTGAATGGAAATGTGAACTGTATGTCCTGGTTGGCTTTGTCTTCAGCCCAGTCCAGAGTGAACTTCTGTGTTAAGACTGTTTTCCCAATGCCAGCCACTCCCTTTGTCATCACTGTTCTGATTGGTTTGTCTCTTCCAGGTGAGGGTTTAAAGATGTCTTCACATCTGATTGTTGTTTCTGCTGCGGCTGCTTTCCTGGATGCTGTTTCAATCTGTCTGATCTCATGTTCATCATTAACTTCTCCAGTCCCTCCCTCTGCGATGAAGAGCTCTGTGTAGATCTGGTTTAGAAGGGTTGGGTTTCCTCCTTTAGCAACTCCCTCGAACAAAAACTGGAACTTATTCTCCAGATTACATTTGAGTTTACGCTGACAGATGACTGCGTGAGTTTCTGTGGAAATAAAGAACAACATTGAGTGACAAACTCACTCTTCTTCCTCCAATTCATGTCTCTACTGTCCCTGAACCTGCTCTGTCTTCCCTAGAGTCAGAGGCCTAGTCAGAGCTGCTGTAAATCAGGTAGAGTAAATAGACCTACTACTGGCAACGGATAGTACAGTTAGCATGTGCAGCAGTGCACTTACATACTTTTGTCCTGCTTATGATTGTTTTTGTTTTTCTGCAACTATCCGACTAATAAAACTAATTGTTGACTATTAGGGGGCAGCCCGACAGATTTTCCTAAAATCCCCTAAAATTAAGTAAAATTAAATAATACCACTTATATGCCAAAATATTTAATTTCTGTGTTTATGTTAGTAACACATGAGTTAGCTATACATGTTATTAGCCGGTAGTCGTTAGCTGCGGTTGTCACAATGTGAAAGGTAGTTGAGGAAGCTTGTTTATTTTGTTTGGTGGATTAGGCTGCATAATGCAAGTGCTGGCAACATGCTGGATAGCCTTTTAGCTGGCTTAGCTAGGCTATCTGGATAGCTTGGCTATATTAGATGGTTGTCAAAGCCATCAACTCTTTTAAACATTCATGACTGCTTCTGCAGTTATAGTTTTTTTTTCAACAAGAATTATGTAGATTTGGGACTTGCTCATTTACTGTTTGATATAGATATATATAGGCCCCTGTGCCTTCCCCATGTTATCCATTTTCTAAATAAAGTGTCTTACTGCGCTGCAGAGAATTGGCCAGTTCCTCCTCCTTCATTCCCCTCAGGAAGTGCATTGTGATCTCCAGGAACGACGCTCTGCTATCCTTACTGTCTCCCATCTCCTCATCCTCTAAACAATCTGGGAAATCTGGACTCAGAACCCTCTGAATCCTCTTCAGCTCGTTCTTCACGAAGGTAACAATGTTCTCTTCAAGCAACTACAACAGAAAATTATACACATTTCTCACTAAAGTTAATAATGAGTTGACAACAATCCATAGTTTAAACAGTAGGAATTCACATACTATAAATATGGACACCAGGTCTGGTTGATGTTTCTGGTCCGACTGAACACCTTCAGACTCTCTGTCTCTGTGGAGAGGATACAAGTGCATTATCCTGCTTATACCATGGTCACTTAAAGTTCATTAATTTATATTTTCATGAATTTTGCAGTTTTTTACAAGCCATAACTCAGTTTTCCTGGTAATACCTGAGGGTTTGGCCTAGACCTAGAAGAGTCATTACCATCCCATAACGTTCTGATGCAATGGAAAAATGGTTCACCACTCCAGTAAATAGGATGCACATTAGATACAGCTTGGCAACGTGAGTTATTTCTAGTTCCCTTCACTCATAGAGTGCTTTAGCTCAGCTATGTTAAGCTATGAGCCTGAAAACTGGCAGTCGACAAATGGCAAATATAATTTGACAGTAGGTTTAATAACAAAATTAGCTGGCCATGTCTCCATCAATATCAAAATTTTCATGAATGATAGGCCATGTGTACTGACGGCTGCAGCCTGAAGTAACCAGTTGAATAGAGTTCAAAGAGGCCGTGTAGGGGCTCATATTGTTGCTATTATATGAATGAAGCACAACACTGGTGTATGCACTGTATCTACAGCATTGACCTATGCCGTGTATCTACAGCACTGACCTATACCCTGTATGTACAGCACTAAGCTTTGCTCTTTATCTACAGCTCTGACCTCTGTAACTTTGGTGCGTGTGGAGCTATTGTAAGTAGAATCGTATGAAATGTTAAACACACATACAACATTCCCTAAACATTCCCTCCCTAAAAGTACACCTTAGATGTATCTACACCTTCAAACATTTGCTAACCAGTTAAAGACAAACAATGAGTGATACCCTAACACAAACCTATACGTCTTGTTCGGCTTCTTCTGAATATGCTATACCGATTTTGGTGAAGATTAGAATAGCAAAATGCCTTTACTAAAAAATTCTAAATGTTATTAAGGCGCAAATGGGCAACAAAAATGTTTTACTACCAGTATTTCATTAGTTATTTATAACGTATAAAATGCTTAATATCTGACCACATGGTGGTGCTATTATTCTATTTTCTATTTATTCTTAATATAGGCTATTTATTTAGATTTATCAGAGTTTTGGAATGCACCCACTCTCCCACCCCCTTGAACCCTCGCCTCATCCCCCTCTACCAATCACCTCACAGGTGGGGACTGTCACCCCCCCAATCACTGCCACAACAAACCCGGTCATCACAAGATGCCAGGTGAGACGGCAGCTCACCCGGATAAACAAGGCCAGAGGTTCCCGACGACGTCAACCCGAGAGTCCTGAAAGTGTGCGCAGAGCAACTGGCAGGAGTGTTCCAGCATCTGTTTGACCTCTCCCTGAGGTTTAAGAAGGTGCCAAAGATCTGGAAGACTTCCTGCTTAGTTCCTGTTCCCAAAAAAGGAAGACCCAGCGCTTTCAATGACTTCAGGCCTGTAGCCTTAACGTCATATGTTATGAAGACCTTTGAGAGACTGTTTCTGCATCACCGCAGACCCCTGGTATGCAATTGCCTGGACCCTCTGCAGTTAGCGTACCAGGCCGACATTGGCGTGGATAATGCCATCATCTACCTGCTTCACAGAGCTTACACCCACCTGGAGAAGTCACAGACCACCGTGAGGATCATGTTCTTCGACTTTTCCAGTGCCTTCGACACCATCAAACCTCTTCGGGTGCAGAAAAGCTCTCTGTGATGCAAGTGGACCAGGACCTCGTGGCCTGGATCACAGACTACCTCACTCACAGACCACAGTATATCAGACTGCACAGCTGCTTGTCAGATGTGGTAATGAGCAGCACTGGTACACCCCAAGGAACTGTACTGTCATCGTTCCTGTTCACCCTCTACACCTCCGACTTCTGCTCTAACTCTGGAGCGTGCCACCTACAGAAGTTCTCCGATGACTCCTCCATTGTCGGTAGTATCTCAGATGATAGGGAGGAGGAGTACAGAGACCTGATCCAGAACTTCATTGGATGGTGCGACAGGAACCACCTACAGCTCAACAGAGGAAAAACCAAAGAGCTGGTGGTGGACTTCCAGAGGAGCAAGAGGACCCCCCCCCTGTTGAGATTAGGAGGGAGAAGGTAGAGATGGTGGACACCTACAAGTTCCTGGGGGTGACACTCAACAATAAACTGGACTGGACGGATCACACTGAGGCCCTCTACAGGAAAGGACAGAGCAGGCTGTTCTTTCTGAGGAGGCTCAGGTCATTCAACATGTGCACTCGGCTACTACAGATGTTCTACCAGTCTGTAGTAGCTCAGTGTCCTCTTCTTTGTGGTGGTCTGTTGGGGGGCATTGGGACTTATGATGCCAACAAGCTGAGCAAGCTGGTGAGGAAGGCCAGCTCATTGGTTGGGATGGAGCTGGGCAGTGTGGAGCTGTGATTGAGAAGAGGATGAGAGAGAAGCTGAAAGCCATCATGGACAACCCCTCTCATCCTCTCTACACTGAGCTCAGGCAGCTCAGGAGCACTTTCAGCCACAGACTGACCCAGCCCCGAGCCTCGAAGCGGTTTGGAGGCTCGTCTGTATCATCTGCCATCAGACTCCACAACCCTACAGCACCCAGTACCTCCAACCCCCGCAGACAAAGACTGGTTTAAAACTCCTACCTACAACGCACAAACCTTTTGCACTATTTATATTTAATTTCCACTTTAGTAGTTTAGTAGCTTTAGTTTTAGTTTTTTAGTTTAGTCAAGTTGAATTTTCTGCTTATATTTTGCACTCCATGTCCTGCATAGTGTATATACTTTAATTTATAGTTTTATATCTTCTAATATTAATAATATTAGTAATATTTTTATTGTGATGTTCTTTGTTCTCCGTTTTTGCACTACTTTGCCCTATTGCTGCTGTGTTAACCCGAATTTCTCTTAAGGGGGATAAATAAAGGAATATCTTATCTTATCTTATCTTATCTTATCGTAAGCATATATAGTGTTTGAGATTTTGATGCTGGTATGTGATTCCCATTGATGAGCTATTCAAAACGACGTACGGAAGAAGAAAAAGAACAATAGACTAAATGAAGACAAAAGATAACAATTGTTTCGTAAAATAAAATAAATTAAGGTAATTATACAGATGGCGTTAAAAGCTATCCACAAGTTATGCGCAAGAGGTTACGGTACTTAAGACAGGATTAGGTCTGGAGAAATATTCATGGTGTGTCCATAGGGGAGCAGAAATATGTGCTGATTTAATAACAAACAATCACATTTATTAATATACTTGCATCGAAAAACTCCCAAATGAAGCTAACCATAAACCATTTTCTGGATGTGTAACTGTTAAACATAGAATCTGTGACAGTTAAATGTTAGTAACAGCTTACTTATGTCCAGAAGGAGGGTGTCCATCTTTGAATGTGAGAGGTTCGGCCTTTGAGCGGTCACTCTTCATGGACACACAGCTGGGTTCAGAGGACTCTGGTCTCTTCCGATGGATCCTGGGTGTCAGGTAAATGTAGTAAATGTTGTAAATGAGAAAAAATTGTTATTTATGTTACAGCAACATAAGAGACACTAAGCGCATTAAAAAACAGCTAAAGAATTATTTAAACTAGAATATTGGCAATTGCTGCAGAAAATGCGTGTGATAGCTGAAATCGCTTCTGGTGGCATAAATCTGAAGATACTTCCCATCATAATTGAATACTGTGTTCAAAATATTGGTCCAAAGAAGACAACGGTATAATTGCTTGCAGCAATAACACAATTAGTGTCAAATTATTGGACTTCACTAAAAAAAAAGTTAATATTAATAACAGAATTATTGTTGCTATTATATGAATCAAGCACTGCACTGAACTATGCCCTGTATCTACGGCACTGACCTCTGTCCTGTACCCTTCCTGCCCTCTGTAACTTACTTATTATTGTCAAATGGACTTAATCAAATATTTATTAAGTGTCTCTGAAAGAAAATTAGTGTCAAATTATTGGACTTCACTAAAAAAAAAGTTAATATTAATAACAGAATTATTGTTGCTATTATATGAATCAAGCACTACACTGAACTATGCCCTGTGTCTCCAGCACTGACCTCTGTCCTGTACCCTTCCTGCCCTCTGTAACTTACTTATTATTGTCAAATGGACTCAATCAATTATTTATAAAGTGTCTCTGAAAGAAAATTAGTGTCAAATTATTGGACTTCACTAAAACCTATGAAATAGTTAGTATTAATAATATCATTATTGTTACTATTGTATTAATCAAATAGACAGTACAGACCTCTGACCTGCATCTACAGCACAGTAAAATTGGCTTCATCCAAGAATCCCATTGAACACAAATATTTCTTCTACTCCTAATGTTTCATGAGTTATTAGTCAAAACATAACAGTCAGAAAAACATACAGAAGATTAAAAAGAATAATAAACTAAATGAAGACTGAAGATAACAATTGTTTCACTGTGTGTATAAAAAATAAAAAACAAAATAAATTAAGGAAATGATAGAGATGACATTAAAAGTTATGCACAAGAGGTTACAATACTCAAGACAGGATTAGGTCTAGAGAAATATTCATGGTGTGTCCATAGGGGAGCAGAAATATGTGCTGATTTAATAACAAACAATCACATTTATTAATATACTTGCATCGAAAAACTCCCAAATGAAGCTAACCATAAACCATTTTCTGGATGTGTAACTGTTAAACATAGAATCTGTGACAGTTAAATGTTAGTAACAGCTTACTTATGTCCAGAAGGAGGGTGTCCATCTTTGAATGTGAGAGGTTCGGCCTTTGAGCGGTCACTCTTCATGGACACACAGCTGGGTTCAGAGGACTCTGGTCTCTTCTGATGGATCCTGGGTGTCAGATAAATGTAGTAAATGTAGTAAATGAGAATTTTTTTTAAATTTATTTTACAGCAACATAAGAGACACTAAGCGCATTAAAAAAATAGTTAAAGAATTATTTAAACTAGAATATTGTCAATTGCTGAAGAAAATGCGTGTGATAGCTGAAATCGCTTCTGGTGGCATAAATCTGAAGATACTTCCCGTCATAATTAAATACTGTGTTCAAAATATTGGTCCAAAGAAGACAACGGTATAATTGCTTGCAGCAATAACACAATTAGTGTCAAATTATTGGACTTCACTAAAAAGTTAATATTAATAACAGAATTATTGTTGCTATTATGTGAATCAAGGACTGCATTGACCTATGCCCTGTATCTACGGCACTGAGTTATGCCCTGTATCTGCAGCACTGACCTCTGTCCTATACCCGTCCTGCCCTCTGTAACTTACTTATTATTGTCAAATGGACTCAATCAAATATTTATTAAGTGTTTCGGAAAGAAAATTAGTGTCAAATTATTGGACTTCACTAAAACCTATGAAATAGTTAATATTAATAATATCATTATTGTTACTATTGTATTAATCAAATAGACAGTACAGACCTCTGACCTGCATCTACAGCACAGTAAAATTTAACACAAATATTTCTTCTACTCCTAATGTTTCATGAGTTATTAACCAAAACATCACAGTCAAAAAAACATACAGAAGATGAAAAAGAATAATAAACTAAATGAAGACTGAAGATGACAATTGTTTCATTGTGTGTGTATACAAAATAAAAATAAAAAATAAAATAAAATAAAGAAATTAAAGAGATGATATTAAAAGTTATGCACAAGAGGTTACGGTACTTAAGACAGGATTAGGTCTGGAGAAATATTCATGGTGTGTCCATAGGGGAGCAGAAATATGTGCTGATTTAATAACAAACAATCACATTTATTAATATACTTGCATCAAAAAACTCCCAAATGAAGCTAACCATAAACCATTTTCTGGATGTGTAACTGTTAAACATAGAATCTCTGACAGTTAAATGTTAGTAACAGCTTACTTATGTCCAGAAGGAGGGTGTCCATCTTTGAATGTGAGAGGTTCGGCCTTTGAGCGGTCACTCTTCATGGACACACAGCTGGGTTGATCTGGTCCTTCCCGGATCCTAATATTAACACAGGATGAACAGGAAGGTGATATCAAGAGGGTAATATAAACCGCTGCAGCACAAATTTAGACACAGTGAATCTGTGAGTAATTAGAAGAGCGGAGTTTTAAACAGTAATGAACAGAAGATAAGATCAGATACAAATTTATTTATGTTACAGCGGCACAGAAGATTTTTTAAGCAAGCAAATCAGTTAAAATGTGTGTTAAAATATGTACATAACAGATCATTAAACTGATTTATTTTTTATTTTTAAAAATGTATCAAAAGGAATTTTTTTAAAATTTGACTTGGGTGGCCAGGCTTTTTTTAGGGGCACCACTCTAGATCCACCACTGCTTTCGACTATACAAGAGAATTATACAAATATTTGTGTGAAGAAATGCATAAACCTAGTAGTGAGAAGCACTTTTCAAATTCCTCCAGTGAGTCCTCATTGGCTAAAAGTACAACAGTTATTCTTAACAGCTCCCAGAGGGTTGCATTTTACCGCCACCTGGTGACGGTATTAAGAATTACCACGCATGAAGCTTCACAAAAACATTTAAATACATAACGTATGTGAATGACAGTCAGTGGTAGAAAAAGTATCCATATATTTAAAGTAAAAATATCAACACAACATCCCACATTCAAAACCTTCCTTAAGTAAAAAGCATAGTCACCTAAATGTATTTAATGTATCAGAAGTAAATGCTGTCATTATAAAGACAAACAGCCCCTCAGTTGCCCATATTTGTACATATCATGTTATTGGAGTATTATTCATGTGGAAGCAGCATTTTGCTGGTCTGATCAACAACAGTGTGTTATGGTTTATAAGAAGATCAAATAGCTAACAATAAAACAGTAAAAAGTAAATTTCCCACTGAAATATAGTAATACATAAACAGTCTCAGCAAACCTTTCCTAAACATACAAACGGGGACACGTAAATGTCAGTAACAGCTTACTTCTGTCCATCTTTGAATGTGAGGGGTTCGGCCTTTGAGCGGTCACTCTTCATGGACACACAGCTGGGTTCAGAGGACTCTGGTTTCTTCTGAGGGATCCTGAGAGAAACACAGGATGGACAAACAGTAATGATGGCTTTAAAAAGAGAGCAACCAGCATTTGTTCAAACACAAAACAAACTTTATTTTAATGCAGACTAGAATCTGTAGGACCCACCAGAGCTACACTCAATGTTCACTCTTGTTACTGTGTCAAATACTGTGGCAATATTATAAACCCACAGATAAGATGTTTGGATCTGACCTGTCAGATTATTGATGTGCCTCTTAATCCTAAATGATGTATTCTGAATATTTACTCACTTGATTTAGTAGTTTTTGTGTAATGTTTGTTTCTTGGAGGATAAACTGTGTATTTTTAATGCTCCGAAAACAATAGAGATTCTATAGAGATTACTTTTTGCTTGTTTATTTTTTCCTCTCTTAGTTTTCTAATTGTTCATCTTATGTTTGTTTGTTGTCGTTATAATATCTTCCTCCCTTCGTCTCTCTCTGTTTTGAGTCTCACTACAATCTCAATCGACCCATGATAAACATTAATGTGTGGAAACTGTAATCTAAACGGCAGTTACCTTTTCCTGTTGGAACATGCCGCTCCACCTGTGGGCAGATAGAAAGTCTGTTAGCTGTTAATGAACACGAGTGTCTTCAGAGCAACATTTAAACAGAATAAGTCTTACTTGAGTTTTTCCTGTTAATGTCTGTCATTGCAGCGGCTCTTTTGTGTCCTGACGAGGTCTCTCTGGTAAACAAGCTTCACATGATGATTAAAAGTCTCATCCTTAACCAGTAAATGAGCCCAGAGACGCTGCTTTCTGAGTCTGGTGTGTCTGCAGGCTTCACTTCATCAAACTCTGAACCAGTCGAACCAGTCGATGAGTCAGTGGAAGAGAAACCTCAGAGATCAACCTCAGGTGGAATTCGTCCTCAGCTACTACGTGAATATGGAGGACTGAAAGTGCCACAATTAAATAAATAAATACACCATTAAATAATTACTTAAATGTGTCATTAATTAATTAAAATTGGAATTAAATACATAAATGTGATATTAAATGTGTCATTAATTAATTCAAATACCGATTCATTTAATGTAAAATACATATATAATTATTTCACTATTTACATTTACATTTCATGGTCCTGCGTTGCAGTGCTTCATGAATTACTTAAAACTGTCAAACTCACCCATCAAACTCAGAGGGTGGGGCCAACGCGAATCTAGCCTGATCCATTGCTTTGGTCTGAAGTAGAGTGCCAGGAAGATCTTCATGAACTTTCTAGGGCAGAGGTCGCTAACAGGCGGACCCAGACACCGTCCTATGCGGACCCAGACACCGTCCTATGCGGACCCAGACCTATAATCAATTCATTATTGAGGATTCTAAATTTTGATGGGGAGCTTCTATTTTAACCAGCACAGCTTTTTTAGTCTTTACGGTATTTGTTTAGCAGATCAGGAAGCTCACAGACCAATTGCATGCTAGTTAAGCCATCCCACGTGATGCTGCTCAGCCAATCAAATCTGTTTAAACAGCGCGACTGAATACAGAGATGAGAGCGATGAGAGAGGAGAGACAGACAGAAAGAGAAGTCACAGATACATGGAGAGGAAACGGAGAGATGAGTGAGCGAGAGACAACAGAAGATTTATGGCGCTCTCTAAGAAGAGAAAAGTGGATAGAAAATCGAGCTTTTAATGGACAGATTCATTCACATTCATTCTTCCCACTGGGAGCACATAACCAGTGTGTCTCATGTTCAGAGACCGTGGCGCTGATTAAAAGTGCCAGTGTGAAACGCCACTATGAGACAAAACACAAAGTTTTCATCAAACACACCCACTCAAGTCTGAACAAGGTCACAGAAAATAAGCAGGCTCAGATCCCAATATGATCACTCCACCAGTATCCTGACCAGTGTTGGGAGTAACGGCGTTAAAGTGTAACGGTGTTTAAGTATAACGGCGTTACTAACGGCGTTATTTTTTCAGTAACGGAGTAATCTAATTAAGTACTTTTCCCATCGTTGTAACGCCGTTACCGTTACTGAGAATGTAAAGTGGCGTGTTACTTGCGTTACTACAATGTGGTGAATGAAGTGCAGCGGTGTCAGGCTTTCTGACAGCCACACATCAGCTGCCAGCAGAGGGCAGCGTGGTGATGATGATTGGCTGGGTGGGCGGATGCCAAGACAGAGACAATGGCGACGAGCCAGGGAAATTCAAAGGTAGCGATATCAAACTGGAAGTACCGACACTACTACTCGCTTACTGAAGTTAAAGGAAGAATGTTTATGTAACGTGTGTGAATTTTATTTTCAATATTTGTATTGATATTTTTTATTTCTATGCATATGGCCGGCTGCAATCTATTGAGTTCAAATAAATACCAAATGTTCTAAAATACTGTATATAGTGTTTTATTCTTTATTCAGTGATTATAAACATCTTTAACCTTATAGAAGATGTTACAGAATGTAATTATAGACCATAAAAATAATGTCACAGTTACTTTGCTGAGTAACTAATTACTTTTACAATGTGGTAACTGAGTTACAAATTACTTTTTGGGATAAGTAATTTGTAACTATAACTAATTACTTTTTTAAGTAAGATGACCAACACTGATCCTGACCCATTCATTCACTGCCCAACGAGGGAGAGAGGTTAGAGCTCGATTCTCTCACTGAACAACAGAAAGTGTGTAGAAAGATATAAAAGGGAAAGAAAGAGAAACTGTTCAATTGTAAAGATGTGTTGATATTCATTTATAAAATTTGTTGAGACTGTTAATCAAGATATGAAACAGTTAACAAAGAAAAAGGGAAACTCAAGCTGCTGCTACACTTTATTTTTCAAAGTTAAACACTTTATTTGTTAGACTTAGCAGAGGATGTGGAAGCAGGAGCTGCTGACCCAGAGCATGTAGCGAGTAAAGCAGAGGAACTTATTGAAGTTCTTGGAGTTATTTCCGCACTTTCTGACCGAGATATTGACCACAGAGTGACTGCAGATTTAGAAGAAGTAGTCCAATAGCGCCACCCAGTGTATTGGAATGTGTTCACTAGCTCTGCATCGATCCATTATCTGGAATTGATTTGTCTTGGCTTGATGCGCAGGGTAACCAATCAGGCGTTAGGTTCCGCCTACCAACTTTTGATGGGTGAGTTTGACAGTTTTAAGTAATTCATGAAGCACTGCAACGCAGGACCATGAAATGTAAATGTAAATAGTGAAATAATTATATATGTACTTTACATTAAATGAATCGGTATTTGAATTAATTAATGACACATTTAATATCACATTTATGTATTTAATTCCAATTTTAATTAATTAATGACACATTTAAGTAATTATTTAATGGTGTATTTATTTATTTAATTGTGGCACTTTCAGTCCTCCATACATGAAGAGATAAAAAGCTGAAGGTAATCAGTCAGATAAGGTAAAACCTCCCAAACATGAACTCAAACAAAGAGTAACTGTGCACAGGTTGCCTGGATGGCTCACCTGGTACCAAGAGTCCTGCTGCAGAAAAAACACTTTAATCACTTAAATATGAGGACAAAAAACACAACATAACATTAACAAGTTATTTGTTGGTTGGCTTCTATTTTATTTTGCTGTTGTTTATTTTTATATTTAATTACATTTTGTGTATCACAGAAGCACTTTGAAAACTGTTGTTTTTAAAAGGTGCTATATAAATAGAGTTATTGTTATAATTGTCATTATTATGCTTATATTTATGTTTAAATAATATTTGAATAATCATTTGTTTATAATAATAATAATAATAATAATAATAGTATTAGTAGTATAGTGGTATAATAGTATAATATAATATATATATAATAATAGTAATAGTTATTACGATAATAAAGTCATAATATTACGAGAATAAAGTCGTAACATTACGAGAATAAAGTCGTAATATTGCGAGAATAAAGTCGTAATATTACGAGAATAAAGTCGTAACATTACGAGAATAAAGTCGTAATATTACAAGAATAAAGTCATAACATTGTGAGAATAAAGTCTTAATATTGCGAGAATAAAGTCGTAACATTACGAGAATAAAGTCGTAACATTTCGAGAATAAAGTCATAAGACTGCAAGAATAAAGTCGTAATACTGCGAGAATAAAGTCGTAACAATACGAGAATAAAGTCGTAATAGTACAAGAATAAAGTCGTAACATTTCGAGAATAAAGTCATAAGACTGCAAGAATAAAGTCGTAACATTGTGAGCATAAAGTCGTAACAATACGAGAATAAAGTCGTAATAGTACAAGAATAAAGTCGTAACATTGCGAGAATAAAGTCATAAGACTGCGAGAATAAAGTCATAAGACTGCAAAGTCGTAACATTACGAGAATAAAGTCGTAACATTACGAGAATAAAGTCGTAACATTTCGAGAATAAAGTCATAAGACTGCAAGAATAAAGTCGTAATATTGCAAGAATAAAGTCGTAACATTACGAGAATAAAGTCATAACATTTCGAGAATAAAGTCATAAGACTGCAAGAATAAAGTCGTAATATTGCGAGAATAAAGTCGTAATATTACGAGAATAAAGTCGTAATATTACAAGAATAAAGTCGTAACATTGTGAGAATAAAGTCATAAGACTGCGAGAATAAAGTCGTAATATTGCGAGAATAAAGTCGTAATATTGCGAGAATAAAGTCATAACATTACGAGAATAAAGTCGTAACATTGCGAGAATAAAGTCATAAGACTGCGAGAATAAAGTCGTAATATTGCGAGAATAAAGGCGCAACATTACTAGAATAAAGTCATAAGACTGCGAGAATAAAGTCATAAGACTGCGAAGTCGTAACATTACGAGAATAAAGTCGTAACATTACGAGAATAAAGTCATAAGACTGCGAAGTCGTAACATTACGAGAATAAAGTCGTAACATTGCGAGAATAAAGTCATAAGACTGCAAGAATAAAGTCGTAATATTGCGAGAATAAAGTCGTAATATTACGAGAATAAAGTCGTAACATTGCGAGAATAAAGTCATAAGACTGCGAGAATAAAGTCATAAGACTGCGAAGTCGTAACATTACGAGAATAAAGTCATAAGACTGCAAGAATAAAGTCGTAATACTGCGAGAATAAAGTCGTAACATTACGAGAATAAAGTCGTAATATTACGAGAATAAAGTCGTAACATTGCGAGAATAAAGTCATAAGACTGCGAAGTCGTAACATTACGAGAATAAAGTCGTAACATTTCGAGAATAAAGTCGTAATACTGCGAGAATAAAGTCATAAGACTGCGATTACTTCTTGTAATTTCGCCCAAAAATAAAAATATTTAATTTTTCTTAGTCTGGCCCTAATACTCTGTCGTAAATACAGACTTTAATACAGGTGATATAATATACAGACTTTAATACAGGTGATATAATATACAGACTTTAATACAGGTGATATAATATACAGACTTTAATACAGGTGATATAATATACAGACTTTAATACAGGTGATATAATATACAGACTTTAATACAGGTGATATAATATACAGACTTTAATACAGGTGATATAATATACAGACTTTAATACAGGTGATATAATATACAGACTTTGGGGCAGTTGCCCTCAACCATCATGGCGGTGTTGCGTTACAATCGAAGGTCAGACACACTCTTTCTTCCGATTGGACGAGCCTCTCTAAGCCCCGCCCTCCCCCCGCTCCACGTGGCCTGTCGCGGCTCTGAGCGCGCCTCCCGCCTGTCACTCAAACCGGCTCCAGCCAATCAGCGTCCTTTGTCCTTTTCACATACGTCCGCCGGCAGCTAGTGCTCCAATCCAACATGTCGGCTACGGCTGTGTTCCCCATGTGTGTCCGAGCGAGCCGCGGCCTCCTGCGGCTCCGGAGCGGGGCGGCGGCCTCCTCCTCCCCGGCGGCGGTGGACATCGTCCGGACACTGTCCGCGGAGAAGCCGCCGGCCGCAGCGGGCGGTGCGACGGGCGGGCTGGCTCAGGCGATCCTCCAGGAGCGGCTCCGGCAGCAGCACAGTCAGGTGAGGCGGCTAGCTTCTGCTCGATTCACGTACCGGCGGTGCGCGTACAGGCGGGGATAGCTAATACACCGCGGGTGAAGCTTCAAGCACCGCTCGGCGGAGTTGCCCGTGTGCGTGAAATCGAAGCCACCTCGCCTCTGACGTTTACCACCTCAGGCTGCGCTGAAAGCTAGCTAACATCTTTATATTGATCCGACAGATCTGTATCGATCCGCGGGGTGGTCCCGGGTAATATTAACGTTATTAGTGATATATTTCCCGCTCCTGAGCAGTCCGCTGAATGAATGAGCCTCAGCTAACAGGCTAACCGGCTAATGCTAGCTGCCTGCCTGTCTGTCTGCCTGCCTGTCTGCCTGTCTGTCTGCCTGTCTGTCTGTCTGTCTGTCTGTCTGCCTGTCTGTCTGTCTGTCACACCTGTGAGAGACACTTCAGTTTACCCGCCTCCTGAGCTCAGGTTGTTCATTACATTATAAACATAATGGGGTTGTTTTAAGTCTGTTTAAGTGGCTAGCTTTAGGATGTAGCAGGTCTCCAGCATCAGCCCCCCCCTCACACACACTCTCTCTCACTCACACACACACTCACACACTCACACACACACACACACACACACACACACACACTCTGATAAAGCTTTAATCTGTAGGAGCTGCTGATGAACCGTGTTAGCACTCAAGGTTTGTTTGGTTTGAAGGTCAGAACAGACCCCAACTCCTCCCTCCTCCTCCCTCCTCCCCCCTCCTCCTCCTCCTCCATGTGGGAACTGACATGTTGTTAAACTCTGATTTGAAGGTGTATTACTGCCCCCCCCCCACAGACCTGATGATCCTCGAACTGACACCGACCGACTGACAGAGCTCCAACTATTCCCGAAGCAGCTGATCGTGTTATAATCTATAATCTATAATCTATAACGATAAGAGAGAACAGCGGAGATAAACTGATATAAACTGATCAATAACTGCAGGAAGTTTGGGTCAAACCAGAGACAAGAAGAGAAACTCTCATTGTTCTGACTCCAAAAAGTTTCACATCATCATGATTTCAACAGTTTTCTTCAATGGAAATTAAACTTGTGACCCAAAAACAATCATTCCCACGTAGTTGTGAAAGAATATCTGTCAGAATAATCTGTTAATATATGTGTTTACCACACTGTGCGGCTCTGATTATGATAAAATATTGTATTGGCCAAAGAATATGTTGAAAATTAGACTTTAAATATTGTATTTTCTGTTAATATCTTATGATAAATTCCTTATAATGTATCTGTGGACTGTAACCAGCACCAATAAACATCATTTAAGAGACGTTTCTCACTGTGTAACCATGTTGACCTCTTGTTTCCAGGGCCAGCCTCCCCCCGAGGGAGGTGAGGGTGAGAAGGAGGGAGAACAGACTGAAGACAAGAAGACGAAGGAGAACACCGCCTACGCCAAGAAGATGGTGCTGCGGCTGGCGGGGCTCATGGGAGTCGGCGGGGCGGTCGGCATGGTCTATTTATTCGGTGAGCGTTGGAGACTTTAACCCGTCGTTACCTGTAAAAACTCGTCTCTAAAACGGATTATTGTGTGTTTTTATGTGTCTGCTCGCTGTAACTCAACACTGACGCCTCAAGGTTGCGACCTCAGAGTTGGTTTAACGCAGAATAGATCTTAAAAACAGCAGATATGAACCGTTCCTGAGCACAGTATACGCTGTAGAGTCGGCTGTGAGCGAGGAACTAATGAGGTATTACTCTGCTCTCAGATCCACCAACAGGGAACCGGCTGCGTCCCAGTTCAAGCACCCGGTTTTAAACCATTTCAACCAAAAATAAATCTGTTAGGAACCTGAAAAGCTGCAGGTTTTCTACATTCTTAAATGTGTTGATTTGCTGCATTTTTCAGTAACTGAAGCGTCTCTGGGTTGTAAAGACGTCACTTTTGTCACATTCACAACTTTTTTTGACCTTTTTTAACAGACTAGATGCTTAATAATCAATAAAGACTTTATTTCCTCAAGTTAGAAGCACAGATACTCGTGTAAAAGTACCGATCCTTGACTCAAGTGAAAGCGTCAAAGTTCAGGCTCTCTTGGTTCCTACCGACTGTTTCTGTGTAAATAATGAAACTTTAAACAAGGTCGCGTTATGTTACGTCTCTCGTGTGTGATATACATCGGTCCCGGTGCTCGGAAGGCGTTCAATGACTCAAAATAATAATTAATAATACCCTTAAACTCATTAAAACTAAAGCAGCGAGCCTGTTTTGAAGCTGTGAGGAGAGAAAAGTTCAGATATTTGTGTAAAAATGTGGAGTAAAAGCAAAAAGTTACCAAAGTAAGGAAGTATTTGTACTTAGCTGTGATAGAAAAAGGCTATTTGAAGACGTTACTTGTCCTCATCTTTCATTCCTGACACTTTATAGAGCAAATGATGAATTAATTAATTAAGAATTTAAGTATTAATCACTAATAATGAATCAAAACGATCATTAGTTGCAGCCAGATTTAGATTTCTGCTCTGACTTGATGAACTCCTCCTCGGTGGGCGGGGAGAAAACGTTGTAAACACTGGGTGTGATTGGTTTATCGCCCCTCTGCTTCCTGCTTACGGGGGGCCGGCCCACAGCTGGGTGGAGCTAGCAGCTGTCAGTCGGAGAAGAGTCAGACGGAGGACGATAAAGAGCTTTAATTCATCCGTTTGTCAGCCAGAAAACACTCGCGGGAGTCTCGAGGGAAGTTTGACGTAGCAGCTGATTTTAAAAAGCGTCTGCGGAGGTCAGGTCTTTAGATTTCCTGTGAGGAAGAGGAGCGAATGTTTGCCGGGTTCAGTGAAGTCGCAGCTGCTTTTATTGTCCCATCTTCAGGTGGAAGTTTTTTATTTTACTCTGAGACGAAGCCACATTTGGATTTCTCTGCTTTTATTGTTTCTGTGACGTTAGCGGAGGACCACGAGCACGAGGACGCAGAAGACGGATATTTTTTATTATTTTAGAAGCTGCTTTGGAGTATTTCTTCCCCCGCTGTAAAACCTGGAATAATCCTGGAATATTTTCTCTTTGTAATGTGGAATTTACTCTCTGCCCTGTGGATTAACCCTTAGAGATATGCTGGATTATAGCCTGAATATGTGAATGTCAGCCTCTCTCTCTCTGTGTGGTTTCCCTGCAGATAGGTTTGTGAAGTATTTGATTTGGCCGACGTGCAGATAATAACAATATCTGCAGGTTTTAGTGTCGCAAAAAGTCCCGAGTTTGACCTCTTTTATGCTCAATACTGTGATAAAGCAGCAGAGACTCAGAGGAAGTGTCTTTATTGGGGCTGCAGCTGGAGATTATTTCATTATGTATTAATCTGTTAATTAATCTTTAAGGTTAGAGCCGGAGCTGCAGCTATTAGTCGATCAATAAGTTGTTTCAGTCATTTTTTTAAAGCAAAAATCTCAACGTTTTATTGTTATAGCGTCTTTAATGTGTTGATTTGCTGCATTTCTTTGTCATTTTTGAGAGTAACTGAAGCTTCTCTGGGTTGTAAAGACGTCACTTTTGTCACATTCACAACTTTTTTTGACCTTTTTAATAGACTAGATGCTTAATAATCAATAATGACAATAACTGTCGCAGCTGTAGTTATAAACAGTCCAAAACCAAGAAATTACAATAATATAAAACAGAGAAAAGTCCTCAGCAGTTTGCTCCATTAAAACGATTAATTTAATGATTTAATTTCCTGTTGATCGACTAATCGATTCATCAACTAACTGTTTCTAATTAGAAACCTACAGTAAAGAGAAATGATGTTGATGAGGTTTTCAGATTTTAACTTTAAGTTTTAGACACAGGGCGATTATTTGAATTAAATCAAGCTGTTTGTTAAAAGATATTTAATTGGAGCAATAATTGGGTTAAAATACACAAATACAGTGTAAATACAGAATAATTATTCCTCCCATATTTTGGTGTTTTCGAACCCCCAACCCAACTTATAACTGATACAAAAAAAACAGTTATCAATAAAATGAACATTAATAACGGTTATAAGATGGATCTAAAAATACCAAAAGCTCTGAGCAAGATGCTTTCAGTCACTTTGGTATTAGCTGTCTGTTTCTAAAGAGAATCTGTGTTCACCAAACTCAGTGATCAATAATGATTGATCAGGATATAAGACTTTAATAATCAGTCTATAAAGAAATATAACAAATGTTAAAGGTTGAACTCGTTAAGTCTTCTCGTATCGTGCTGAAAAGGTGACAAACTGTTGTTTTCTTTCTGTTTCAAGGCTCCAATTCTGTGGACGAACAAGGAAACATGGTAAGTTTCATTGTCTCACACACACACACACACACACACACACACACACTCCCTCCAGGTGTGATCCTGCACACAACGTTACCTGTCAGTTGACGGTGCTTTAAAAGCTTGTGTCCACACACTGAAGACGCATTCAGGCGCCCGTTCAGGCTCAAATGGGACGTTCACGCAGGGCCCCCCCCCCCGAGCCGTCGTGGCGGTTGGCGTCGGCACACTTTCAGCTCGCCCCGTTTGATGTGTCCACCCTCTTCCTGTTGTACAGGAGGCTGTAAAGGACACACATCGCAGGCGGCTGTGACGTGTGTCCGTCTGACGGAGGCGTCGCTGTGGGAAAGGAAGGAGCACACTTATGTCACCTTCGTCCTTTTGTTCGTACTGTAAGGGGGGGGGCAGCACACTCGACGGCTAGCTGAGACATCGGGTCCGTCTGAGCTGTGAAAGTCGGGAAAGTCGACATCAAAGAGCCCAATTATCCCACCTCCACACGCTAATGACCATCATCCAGTGGCTCATATCCCCGTGCTACTTCAAGGACCAGTCCGACATCCAACCGCCATCAAACTGTCAGATCAGATGTGCTGATCAGCCAGCGTCAGTAATCAATACTCACATTATTAAAGCATTGATCAGACTAATAACTAACAGCAGTCAACGTCAGTTCACCTGATCAGCCTTCAGCAGTCAGCTAGTGTTTCTGTAGTGGAGACTAAACGTTAACAATGATCCATATCAGCAGTTTGAATCCAACTAAAAGCTCCCTGCACCAAACTCCCTTTAAGAAATATCACATTTTAACAATTCCTAACGTGTTCGTAACAACACGTAACTCTAGAAACACGAGCTAAAGGCCGTCATATGTCCACAGTCTGACTGTCAATACAGCATCAGGAGCAGTTTTAGTGACGTTATGGGAGACAATCTCCTTTGGATCAGTCCGATGTTCCAGAAGAAGCTTCATACAAACACACATACAGAGACCAGCTCTGAGCTCTCAGACAGGATCTGCTGTCCGAGGTGTCGCTGTGGGAAGACGAGCCACTTCAAAGGGCACACTTCTCTCACATTAGGCTCCTTTTGTCGGTTCCAAAGAGCCAAACGTCTCAGGGCGGCTTCCTGCGGAGCGCTCCCTTTGAAGCCGTCAGCTCGA